ACTAATGAGCACTATAGAGTAATTTATTTTTGAGATGAATGGGGATTTTTTAAATTTAAAAGTAGTATTCATCATGGACTGACATCAGTTGGGGAACCACTGGAAATCTGGGAGCACTAGATAACGGTTTCGTCCTAGTATTGGACTCCTCAGTAGTACGCACCCACGACCCGGCTAGGGATCTGTTCAGTGCTCCCAGATTTTCAATGGTTCCCCCAACTGATGTCACTCCATGATGAATACTACTTCTAAATTAAAAATCCTCATTCATCTCAAAAATAAATATTGTTTTGTTTTTCAATAGTTCCAGTGTACAACTATCTGTGTATATTTTCATGCAGTGGACAATAAGATAGCCAATGTAGGTCACACTTCTTCTATAGCCTTTTCAGTGAATATAAAAGATATAACAGATTTTGGGAAAGAAGCAAAATGAAGAATAGGTCACTAGATCACTACTTAGCTCAAGGTTAGGTAGCATGGCATGAGAGTTTAGACATTGAATTTTCAGTCAGTGGGCTGTATCAGTCGCTTTTACAACTCCGTCTATACTCAAGTTCTCTTGGATAATTCATTGTTCGACTTTCACTTTCTAACCCTATAATCTACCTTCATACCTCTCGACCAATAAAATTACATGATATTCAGGTTGTTTCAGCTGTCGACAATGAGCTGAGTTCACAAAATAGTGTTCCTGGTCTTCTGAAACCATACTCCGAACTACACATAGTTTTAATGAAAATTCGATGTAGTTCAATTTAGTGGATCTGATACACCAGATGAAACCGTTTTTAGATGAGTCAAAATGGTTTTATTTGATGTCGAAAACTAATAATCTCAGTAGAATGTATGTTACTATTACTAAGATTCATAAGTCATGTTATCCCATCTGGCCTATGGTAGGTTTTAGAAACACTCCAACTTACGGGTTGGCTAAATATTTAGCAGTTATGTTGTACCCAATAAAAAATCAGTCAGAATCTCGACTTACCAACTCTTATGACTTAAAGCGCAGATCAGATGACCTACGTGCAAATGGCGATGAAAAAAGTGGTTAGTTTTGATATAACTAGCCTTTATACAAATATACCAATCGACATGGCTCTAGAGGCAGTTAGAAATGGGCTCAAGGATGACAATGAGCTTACGCATCGAACTAAGGTGACGATTGAGTGAATCATGCTAGGAGTACGATTATGCCTAACATCTACAGTTTTTAAGTTTCAAAATAAAATGTATAAACAAACTGAAGGTGTTAGCATGGGATCACCAATATCCCTTATCGTCGCAGACATATTTATGGATAGTTGGGAACAGATGGTCCTTCAAACACTTAGTCCTACTCCAAAGATATGGTTCCGATATGTAGATGATACGTTTACAGTACTGAAATAGGCACACATCAATAGGTTCTTGACACATATGAATTCAGTAGTAAATGCAATCCAATTCACCTGTGAATTAGAAAGTGAAGAAGGTGAGCTATCAATGTTAGATTACTAGTTAAAACGAAGATAAGATGGAAGTTCAGAGACCAGTGTCTGTGGGAAACCTTCCTATTCGAATCACTACTTAGACTTTGAATCCTTCTACCCCATCTCAGTTAAAGTAGGCTTAGTTAAATGCCTAAGTGATAGGGCGAAAAAGTTTACTAGTAGGCCAGAAAATCTGCGACAAGAAATTGCACAAGTGCAGAATACCTTGCACCTCAATAATTACCCACCTAAATTTATAAATAAATCCATAACAAATCGAAAGAAAAGTATTAGCAATGGTAGCAGTAGTAGTAGTAATACAAGTGTTATTAATAATGATTCCACTACTAATAGTGATAATGGTGACAGGGTTAAGAGAGAATTCAAAACCTCTTCTGTGTTACCACACAGGGAAGGCACCTCAGAAGCATTACGAAAAATTCTCAATATAGTTGGCTGAGATTAAAGTGGCATTTAAGCGAACAAACTCACTTATAAACAAGCTTTGTAGGTCGAAAGATCCTATCGATGCAATTAAGAGAAATAATCTGGTTTACCAGATCCCTTGCAATGAGTATGAGGTCAAATACATAGGTCAAAGTAGTTGACCAGGGTCGATTAGAATAATGGAGCACTAAAACTCAGCTAAATCAAGATTAGTAGATTGTAATAAGATAAGAAATGTAGAGAAAAGCTCGAATATAGATGTGCATGCAATGACACACAATGAATCACATAGTAGGGTGGGGGATAGAGCGACAGTGTTGAAAACTAACAGTTGGTTGGAGGGATAGATTGATTAGTGAATCTTTGTTTGTGAAATCAATACCAAATACATGCAGCAATCGAAATGATTCTGCACCTGTCCCAGATATATGGAAAATTCTACTGGCCATGTCATCACAGAGAAGGGGAGAAAATTAGGAAGTTGATGAGTTAGTTACCTGATATGAATATGGACAATGAATTGTGTCCGAAACATTATTCAGTAAATGCTACTGTTTCACTGTGTGATATTTCTAATCAACAGACTAAAATGGAATTACAATCGACCACAGTGTCCAAGTTTTACTCCTATTTTAATTCATTGGAATAGAACATTATATTGGTCAGTGGTTAAGACGGACAGAAACGATCATAGAGTAAAGATCGGTCACAAAAGTGAAATTAAGAAGATTTAAAAAATTGTCATTATTACATACTTATTCTGACGGAAGTTTCTCAAATAAAATAACGACAAGAATAGTGAGGAAAATATTAAGAGACTTAACACAATGCACACCTTTCTTAGCAGCTGTATATTGATTTGGCTTTGTTGCTGCCTGACATCTACAACGGTTTATAAGTTTCTTCTGATATCACTTTTCTATACGGTGGAGATGCAGCTGCAGAAACACTGACACTGAAACTCAGAAATCTGATGCAAAAAACCTTCTTTGCCACGACACCATTTTTGAAATTTACTACTCGCTGTATGATGTCAATTCAGTTGAAGGATAGGCTTCCGAATCTGTTCACATCTGTGTGCATTTATAAAGTAACTGCTCCTGTGGAGATAGTTACATAGGTAGTATGACTCGACAAGCCCACCATCGCTTCATTGATGACCGTCCAGTGTGGTTAGGCAGAGGAACAGCGAAATTCATTAAAAGCTCAATACTTACCCATCCATCTAGTAGACACTGAGCATAAGATTGACAAAATCTCGGAATTTAATAATATTTACAAGGTCTTATTGCAATACTCCAGGTTTGTGCACCTCTGATTGCCAAGCATAGCAGAAGCCATAGCAATTAAAATTTTCAAATTCAATCTACCGAATTTACTGAAAACACGTATTCGCTTCAAACTCTGTCTTCTAATACAGTGGAGACTTGAATATGTTAATAATTTTAAGCTGCAGGCTAACATTAGCCATTAAGAAAACATATTATACAGCTAAGCTTATTATTGTGGGAAAAACAAACCATATACTTCACCATAAATCTAAACACTGCATTAATGATAACGTCACATCCGACTATATTTACCAGTCTACTCACTTGTGTGTGTGTGTGTGGTCGCATCTACACTGTTCGAATCATGCAGTTATGGGTGGGAGAATATGTACTTAAATGGTTTGAGAAACAGATAGAGTACGAAAGCGCAAGTGGGAGACGACCGTCTTTATCTATCGTCAAATATATTGTAAAAACGGGTGACAAAATTTATGCGCAAACGGTTTTCAAAGTTCGAAATATAAATATTCTTGCCAAATGTTCCATTCTTTTCATCAGTTTTGAAGTGTTGAAATGTCTTCATTGCTGGGTGCCGTATGAAAATAATAGAACCTCTCAATAGTGTATATGGTCTACGTTACACTTAACCTCTTCATCATTTGACAAACTCGTTCACGTCGAACAAGTGACTTGGAAACCAATGGTCAGAACTTCCACAATACAATCTACTTTCAATTTCAAATTGTCATCATTGTATGTCATCGGTGAATATGCTTCCCTCTTTCCGAATTTATTGACCTCAAATATGAGGGATTTGGATTAGAAATTAAGGATATTCTATTCACAGTAGGAAACGTAGGATTCCGTATAGAATCGAGTGTACGAACTCTTCGATAATTGCAAATTCCACTTTTGAGGTTTGTGGAAATTTATTGATTTCAGGTTGATTTTCATCATGGACTGAAATCATTTGGAGGAGCATTGGAAACCTTAAAGCACTGGACAGCTGTTTCGTCCTAGTATGGGACTTTACAGCCGTGAGCATCGATAACCACCCCAGAGATCTAACCCAAGACATTCAGGGTTCCGTGGCCAGTACGTTACCAATGGTTTATATTCCCTACTTCTATAAGTTCACGATATATAGCGTGACCTCCATTTAAATTTGTCCTCAACACCAAATTAATTCTTATCAATGAATGATTTCATAACGTCAGTTAATAATGAACATACTATTTGAAATCTAGAATCACTGAGGAAAAAAAACCGCAGACAACGTGAATAAATTTGTTTTCTGCAATATTATCCGCTGCAACTGTACAATCTGTATTTCAGCATAATTAGCATACATATTCATTGGTCAGAAAAGTGTCAGTATTCCTTAATCAGTAGTTCGTGGCCATCAGTGGGAGTAAATACGAGTTGAAGAAACAAATAGTTCGTAACAAAGTGATTACGGGAATGAGAAATATGTAACTGAGCTAAATGGAAGTCGTTTACATAATACGAAGATTACTAAAGCCTAAGAATTGGAAGGTTTCACAATTTAGAAGTGAATAAAGGATAGGGAGTGGCTAAGTTGTTGTATTGCTGGAGTTTCAGCGATGTTAAGTAAACATTTCTTCACACCATTCAGGATATTAAGTTATATTTTTTCGATGATAGTAAACGAATCTTCTGGAACGATGTGATGACTGTATTAAGGAAAATTCCTCTGAGAAAACAGTTTTTTTATGAGTGAAGTTTAAATGCTTTCTTCTTTTACAATAAACATCTCTTCTTTTTCTTAAAATTTTCCCTTATAAAGTCTACTTGGCTGTGTGCAAAATTAGCCGCTGGTAGTGTGAAACATCTAGCCCAACTGGTTTTTACTGGAAAATTGACTAATGGCTTAGCCCTTGTTCGTCCACCCGGCCATCATGCTATGCAATCTGAAGCTTGTGGTTATTGTATATTTAATAATATAGCTGTAGCAGCGGCCAGTTTTCTCCAGCCTAGAAAGCTTAACTCGTCTAGTACTATTTCAAAACCCAAAGATTCACTGGATGGAGAGGTAGTCTCAGCACAACGTATACTCATTGTCGACTGGGATGTACACCATGGACAAGGGACACAGTATACTTTCTACGATGATAACCGGTTAGTTTTCGATTTTCTATTTTAACTACTTATTAGTAGTTAGATGTGACACTAAATTATTGAACCCGTTTTTATTTAATATGTAAAACTTCGCTGTGACTGAATGTAACACCATTTTAGACTAAATACAGTATTATTCACTTGATAACGTCTCGAGCATAAATTATTGCTCATAATCATGTCAATGTAATCTCACTACTTTTGACATCACTTCATATTCTTTGTTTCTAGTGGTAGTGAAATTTTCCACATCTCCGATATAGACGTTGTGTCATTCCTTTTACATGTGTTGGGTGTTGATTCACTGAACAAAGATTCAGCAGTCAATCTCTTTGTTCACCTAATTATATTGAACTTCAGTACAGTAGTTTTATTCTAGGCTATTGTGTGGTTGTGTGTTGCTACATACATTGTAATAGCTGAATTTGTTTCTAGATTACTGATCCTATTGGGGTTCATCATCCCCAATTTCGATATTTTCCAATATTCTGATGATCTAACTGACTCCAATAGGCAAGTTTGACCTGTGTACTTGACCCCTCAATCATTGGATCGAATTTGGTAGATCAAATTATTTTGTTTAACTAGCTTAATCGAATACTTAGGCTGAAAAATGTTTATCCCTGAGAGAGTTTGAATGTTTAAATGTCACCTTATTTTCAGCCTTTGAACTCCTTTCTACTTGTATTGTCATTATTATTCCTATTCATATTATTGTTGTTACTTATTTTCTTATGAGTGACGATGGTTATTAGTGTCATATAGTTATTTGAAAAAAGATTTTCAAAAATAATAGTTGATGAAGAGTTATCTTATTATAGAAGTAGTATTCATCATGGACTGACATCAGTTGGGGAACCACTGGGAATCTGAGGCACTGAATAGCTGTTTCGTTCTAGTATGGGTCTCCCCAGCAGTACGCCAGCACCACCCGGCTAGGGATCGAATTCAGGACATTCATGTTCCACGACAGACGCGTTAAGCATTCAGCCTCTTGGTAGATTTCAAGTGATGCTTTCAGCATGATGACAGTTCCTGTGTTTACAGAACCCTTAATGAACTATTGTATTTAAAACACACTTCTATTCTATCAAATGATCTTCTGTATCATATTGTTTTGTTTGAGAATGTTATTTTATAGAAAGTCAGCAAATATAGGTAAGTATACATAGTGTACTTTTTAGTATTTCTCCCTTCAAAACTGAAGTTTTTTTGTTCATTATGGATTATTTCTTGAACCCTATTCTTATTCCAACCGTGTGACATTGATTACATTGAATATTCACTTCATTGTTTATTGAATAAAAAGAGAATGTCATCAAACCCAATAAGTCATAAGATGTGTGTTTTGATACTCCGTGTTTATTTCACATTAATTCCAAATAATGACAAGAAACCTGTAAATCTGATTCATATATTCATTTAAGATTGATAAAAAATATAGTCTGTTAGACTCTTGAGGAATAATTATACTCAACGAAGAGTTTTAAAAAACTTTGATCTTGATTATTTATTGAATGATAAGGTTTCGTTTCCTATTAGTGTTTGTTTATGTGAGTGTGTGGCACCCACAAATGTTTTTTTTGAAAATCGCTTACTAATTATGAGTTCAATAAGGTGCAATAAAATCGAGTTCATTTGTTTATTGATTATTTTAAAGCATTTTACAGATATCTATCTGATGTCCATTATTAATCAGATGATAAGTGATTGCACCTCTCTGCTGAAAATTCCTTGAATCATGTGGTTGCAAACACTCCTCTTTATTCCTTCACATTTGGCTTATTTTCTTATGTGACAAATGATAAGCATAGTTGAAGGTAATATGAAAAAGCACTTATCAACACCAGCTTGTATTACGGAGTGATTCGTTAGGTAAAGAACAACTAACTTGGCAGATGAAAATGTTTTCTTTCGAATAGATAATTGAAATGCACTCAGCAACCTTGTTCATATCCATGCGATAGGTAATGAGTCTAACCTACTGTGTGAGGGCTAATATTCTTCAAGGGAAACGAGAATACAGAGATGAAGGAAGGAAAGAATGTTTATTGTTAACAAGTGGTACAGTAGTTGTTAAACATGGTACACCTTGTACTAAAACCGTCATTTGCAAAATGTGCTTCATTTCCTTTCTTGCTTCTCTCTTGATTTGCTCTTCATGTGCCCGTATTGTCTTTTGTATTTGTTTCTCTGGGCAGAATCCTTACCCATTGCTGTTAATTCCCTATGATTTCTGCCGCCCTTTCAACATGTACTACTTATATCCATTCTTATCAGCAACGCCCACTACACTCGACCCCTCGTCAAAATTTCGGGCTTGCAGCCTTGTTGATTGTCTTGATCCTGACTTTTCTTGGTGTCCATGCGATGTTTCATCTTTTTCCCACCGCTTCCATTTTTGAAGTAGGCTGGCATTTACTCTTTTCTCTTTGTCCCTTCCACTGATGGTATAAACTGAACAGCATCTCTCGGTAATGATGTATGGTCCTTCCCACTTCGGGAGTAGTTTTCTTCTACCATATTCACCTCCTGATGTATATCCTCATTCTTTACATTTCACCTGGTTTCCGGCCTCAAACGGTTTCCATTTGCTTCTTTCTCTCTGCTCAAATTTTTCAGCATCAGCTTTCTGTTTTTGTTCCACACTTCTGATTGCCTGTTTCCGCTTCTCTCTCAATCTTGTCATGTTCCGTGACTGTTATTGGGGTCAGGTCTTGCTATGTATTGGGAGCCATACACTAACTGGAACGACGACTTCTTGGTTGTTCCTTGTACAGAGGCACGATGCGCTAATTAGATCAATGGCAGTTCCACCTCCCAATTTCCCCCTTTCGAAACCAGCCACTCCTTAGGTGTATGGTTATTCCGTTCTGTCAAACCATTAGTCTGGAGGTGGTACGGTGTCGTTCTTATCCTCTTGATATCAAGTTGCTCTAAGCAGGATTTAAATTCTTTACTCTCAAAACAAGGACCTTGGTCGGTCAATATGATTTTCGGCACACTGTGGTCCGCGACAATATGCTGCATCACCGCTGTGGTCACTGTCTTCGCGCGTTGATCAGGAATCACGATAGCATCTACCCATCGTGTAGCATGTTCCATCGTCACCAACAAGTATTGTTTGCCACTGGATGTCTACAGAAATGGTCCCGTTACGTCCACAGACCACAAGTTACCAACTGCCTCCACTGGAATCGACTGAAGCGGCAGTCATACATACTGAAAACCTTTCATCAGTTGACAATGAGGACAGCCCAGCACGTGTTTGGCAACATCTTCTCTTATACCTGGCCAGTATGCACTTTGTCTGAGAAGGTCAGCTGTCCATGAGACATCTGTATGGGTTAACTGGTGGCATTCTTGTATCATTTTGTCGCGTACACATTTCAAAATCACCGCCAACCAGCTCCCGTTGTTTTCTCGCCACGTCACCATTCCATAAGTATTTTTCCGTAGGCGTTCTTTCTCCGTTAACAAAGTGTTCAACTCTTTATTTCCTACAGACTTGTTTGTCTCCGTTCCTTTAGTTATGGCTTTTATCATTTGTTTAAGTGCAGGGTCCGACTTCTGAAGACGAATAAGCCTTAATGGGTCCCGTTCCACTGCATGTACACTGTATGGGATCTCATGTAGTTCATTTTCTTTATCTGATCTTGATAAGAAACCTGCCAACCAGTTTTCTTTCCCTGACATATGTTCGATGGTGAACTCGTACTCTTGCAGTCGTAACGTCCAACGTGATAAGAGGTTTATGATCAGTTTCAATATGGAATCGTTGACCGAGGAGGTACGATCTCCATTTATCCAGAGCCCAAACTATCTCTAGACATTCCTTTCCACATGTGGAATATTTCTGTTCTGCAGGTGTTAGAACGCGGCTGGCATACTCCACTACTCCTTTAGTCTGTCTCAGAACTGCTCCTATTCCATAATCATTTGCATCGGTGAACACGATTAATGGCCTCCCGGGTATTGGTAATTTTAAAGTCATCTCCTGGTCACTGAGGAGTTCCTTGAAATGATGAAACGTTTTCTGTGCCTCCTCCGTCTACATAAATTTGGAGTTGCTGAGTAGCTTATGCAGAACTGCTGCTATCTCATTGAAACTTTTGAAAAACCGACTATAGAATGCTGCTCTACCCAAGAACTGTTGCAGTTTCTTCTTGGAATTCGGCACTGGACTAGTTCTGACTGTCAGAATTTTCCCAGGTAGTGGCTTTATTTCACCGTTTCCAACTTTATTTTTAGTAGTGTGACATTTTTCCTGGCTACCTGAGATTTTGTCTTATTGATGCAAAGTCCAAACTCATCAATGCGTCTTAAAACAGCTTCCAGGTGTTCTAGATGTTCTGCGTCTGTCTGACTGAAACCACCAGGTCGTCACCATACACCTCTACGTTCTCTAAATTCTCCAGCTACAGCATCATCAACCGTCGAAATGTAAATGGCACGCCTGGAAGACCAAATGGCATTTACTTGAACTGGTATTGTTTTTTGCCCACAATAAGTGCTGTTTTCTCTTTATCTCTGTCTTCTATCGGTAGCTGCCAGTAGCATGATCGGAGGTCCAGAACTGCAAATACTTTTGCATTCTGAAAACGATCCAGTGTTTCAGCTACCATCGGCATGGCACACGGCCTCAGTTGCGTCATGTTATTTAACTCTCGAAAATCAACGCAGAATCTATATTTTCCATTGGATTTTCTTACTAAAACTACTGGCGCACTGTATGGACTATCAGCCTCTCCAATAATGCCTTCATTTAGCATTCCCTGAACCTGAAGCCCAACTTCTTGTTCCAAGTGACATGGTATTCGTCGTGTTACACATGTTGTCATTGCTTGGCCTGTCGCGGGGATTTCATGCCGAACCTTGTCACAGTATCCTTAGGGATCTCCACCTCCTGTGAAAAATCTGTCGGATTTCTTAACCAACTTTATAATGTTTGGCGCTTCTGGGTGTGGTGCTTTTGATACCTTAGTCTCTGCTACCTCGCTATTTTCCTGTATGATAAACGACCCGTACTTCGTCACCACTATTCCTGTTCTCGTGTTAATAACTGCTCCCACTTCTCGCAAATAATCAGTACCTAGGATTGGCTGTTGTGGACGCGTGGTCACATTGAATGGAAATCTAATTTTCCTACTTCCGATCTCGACGACCCAATCTGATAAGCCCAAGACTTCTAATGCATGTCCCCTAACTGTGTGAAGCGTTAGCACGCATGGTCTTATGTTCCGAGACTGACTCTTATCTGTCAGCGAGACTGCCGCCCCCGTATGTACCAGACGCATTATCTCGCGATCATTTGTTCGCATTCTAGCATACACAGCACTTCTATCTATAGCTCCTACAACATCTAGTCTAGTCGGAAAAACAGAACTCATATTATACCGTTCAGAACGTTTTCTTTTTCGCTTCTCCGAATGATTTCTTCTCCATTGTCCCCGTCTTCCGCATGCAAAGCATTTACTCTGTATAATGATATTCACTCAAAGCGCGGCCACCTCCTCCTGAAGATCGTAGATTTGTTTTTTCCAGTTATTTACCTCTGGTGACTCCACTGCAGCTATTGCTGTACCCATCAGCTGTCTGGTCACCTTGGCCATCTCAGTAATGTCCATGAGTTGGGCTACGTCGACTAGTCGTAGATGCTGGGCGATGGAGTTCGGCACACTTTCGGTAGACTGCGCAGCTAGCAACTGTGCCTGGGAGTCCTCATCCAAAGTGGGAAGTGCTCATCGAAGTAGTTTAGTCAGCTTCACAGTCAATATAAGCGAATCTTCGTCTATTCCAAGTTTCGTGCTCCGGCACTGCTGCACCGCCGTCTCCCTGTCCACTGGGCTGTCAAGCTCCGTCTCCAGTCGTTCAACCATTCCCTGCCAAGTCTCCTTCCCATCCCCACGTTCCACGCTGTCATATGCTGCTTTCGCTCTATCCCTCAGCAATGTGCCAACCACCACAGCTTTCGCTCCTGGATCCCGGACACCCACCAGCTCCGTGACCGACTCGAAGTCTCTGAGGAAGACCTTGATGTCTCCGTCATCGAACACTGCAGGCCACAGAATCTTCATCACGTCCAGAAGCAGCGATACCAATTGAAAGGTAATGAGAAGACACAGACGAAGGAAGGAATGCTTATTGTTAACATGTGGTGTAGTAGTCGTCGTCCCAAATCAATGAGTTACAGCTCCACATGCTCTTCTTCATTGACCACTAATTCTTTAGTTAATTCGCCTACAGACTTCATCACCTTTGAAGTTTTTTCTTAACTGTAACGCACTTCTCATTTTTAACGGTCGTGTTTTTTTGTTACTTACCAATGAAATTTCGCTTTTTTCTATCGTCACAGAGACAATTTTTTGACTCTGTTTATCTTCTCTTGGAGCTGTTGTTCCAACGAAATCTGGAGTTTTCGGTTGAAAAGTGTCTTCCCCAACCCTTCTTTCTTGATACATTACCGGGCAAAAATTGTAGAAATTAGGATGTAGTTCATTTCAAGAATCTTTGCAGGGGAGGAACTTTTTTTACGCATCACATATAGTCCATTAAATTCTGAGGTAGAGCTAGTGAAACTTTCGATTCTGTTACTTTTTCATCGTTTATTCTGTCTTGATCTATTTTATTGAGTAAACGTGAGAAGTAAGATATACATTCGCGGTTGTCGCAAACTATGGATATTTCCTCAACATACGTGTATTGCAAGTTGAGGGTATTCATTGTAAAACTAAACATTGTTTACATTGGAACTTTGGAGGAGGTATCAATGAATTCCTTCCTTTTCTTCTTGGTTGGTTGTCATTATTTTAGGCGGATGGAGTTGTATTGGTTAAGTTGTCATCAATTATACATACAGAATAAATAATAGCTGACAGTCTGACCACTATCACCCTATTGAAAGAAAATCACTTAGTCAATATGGAAGAAGGTGAGATTCACTAGGAGACCAACTTAGGACTAAGTAGAAGGATGCACTATCAGTTCTAAAGAGCGCTCAAATAATCTCTGTAGCTCTTAAGTTACAACAAATATGATGCCTAGTATACCACTGAAAGCTCACTAAATATCTATTTCCTGAAATTAAAATATTTAAAGCCCTTTCAAAATGTTAACCTTAGAAAATAGAATTAGGACTTTTGTCTACCTGGATTTTATTCATCACTACGGTTTTACCTAAACTTAGTAAACATTTACTTAAATTCATACTACTTATAAGTAGGTTAAATATATTAATGAAACAGTTACTCACAACTTAGAGATCATAAATGAACTCATATATTCTCCTTACAGCGAAGAATTACAGCTTCATTATAAACATTCCACTTTTCTCGAGACAAAAATAAAATATTCTAAGAGGTATCGTGAGGAGATTTCAGTTCTGATTGAACTCTAAGTTCCTGATTAAGCTTATAAGATAGTCTTAGCAAGTAGAGTAGTTGAAATTTATGGCAATGATGAAATGAAAGTTAAAACAAATGTTAGGGTTAGAGTAGAATTCTTACAGACAGCTTATAGAATAACTGATTTGTTACTAGTTATTTGAAATTGAAGAGTCTTGAACAAGAAAAAAACTCGCTTCCTAGATCCCTTCATCAGCCATTATCAGTCAATATTTTTAGAATAATACCAATTTCCTGTTTTAACAGTAAAATGGAAATATTTTTGGATTTTTTTTCTTTCTAAGAAGAAATTATTGATTTTTTTTACCTTTAATAATTTAGTGTTCTGTTCATTTCAATTCATCGTTATGAGAATGGGGTTTTTGGCCGAATTTACGTGAAGCAAATTATGATTTTATTGGTAAAGGTTCAGGCAAAGGCTATAATATTAATATCCCATTGGAAGAGGTAATTGTGATATAGTCTACCTTGAAGCTTTAAATGAAAAAATAACAACAACTAAACAGTCCCTGCTTTGGATACTAATGGTGGATGTTGCCTAGAAGTGGGTCCCAAAAAGGAAGAAACGTGTGTCAAGCTGGATGTACCTGTCTCTTAGTTAACGATGTGGTTCTTACTAAAGATCGAACCTTGGAGTGATAGCCCTCAAACACCAGGGCGTTAGCTCCTAGGTTTACCGAGTTATCTTATTTAATTCTTGTGCAACGGGCATAGTTCATATGATGTTGCTTGTATTCTTTCGTCGTTGATTGGACTGAATTGATCGGTCGTTGTTGGTATGTGAGCCGTTGGATTCAACTGCTAGCCACTATCCATCATTGATATCAAAGATAAAACGATAGGAACTATTGAAGCACTCACACAGCAGACTATATGCCAATAGAGATCAAGCAATTCGATCCAGTCATCGACGGGATTATACAAGCAACATCACATAGTCTTTGCTTTTGTTTACTGATACTTGGGATTCCCTGTTCCTACACTTGGTTAAAATGATCGACCTCTTTCAGTAGATGTGCCGAAAAACAAACAAACGCTCAAGCACTATCAAGGCCTCCATACAGGAGCCCGTCTGCGAACAAAGGTCTTTCGTTTCGATCCAGTATAACAATGGATAGTTACAAGTACGGATGAATAACAGCTGATACCCACTGCACACGAGGGGATTCACGTACCTCTATGAGCTAGTGCATGATGCTTTGGTTTTTGGAGTGGAGGACGCTGGGTCCCAGCTACAGTAGGAGCACTCTAAGTCACTAGGATGTGGATACATCTCACTGAAGGGTCCCGAATGAAACGAAATGCACTTCCTGGATTCCACTACTAGCCGTCAAGTAAACTCCAATCTTTAGTTCCGTAATTTTTTCAAATAATTTGAATCAGTTTTAACAATTGATGAAAACATCAAGCATGATATATCCATTTGGTTTTACAAAAAAATTTTTAATAGCGTCTAATTCGAGTCCAGTTTACAAATCATATTTGGAATCTGTGAACTTTTTACCGGAGATTAGTACCCATTAACCATTCCAGTCCTGTCGGTGTATAAAAACCTTAAGTTATTGTTTAATTATCAGTTTGATTGTCTAAGATAACCGTGGTTTGACAGACTAATGTTTATACTGGGTGATTATTGAAGGTCAAATGAAAATCTAGGCCAATGGTAGCTATTATGATTTTCATTTCACCTTCACTTATTGCCTAATTTTTCCTAATTATTTAATTTGATTAGATACTTAGAGAATATCACTTAAATGGGATTCCACAGTTCATTGGTGATTCATTTTAGGAAATGAAGTTTTCATAGATGTTACAAGAAACTGAGATCTCAGTGACATCAAATGTTACATTGAAATATCCTGTTATTTATATGTAATTAGAGACAATTAACCATTGGCTCCTCATAACTTTGACAGTGATAAAAATTGCTACATTAGGTCTTACAAAAGGTTGAATCAAGAGTTAGCTCTTTACGTTCTTGTGTTTCAATGTGTTAGGTTACCAATACGAGCCGAGATTTCTACTGCATATTAGAAACAGACTTAGGAGAAGAAAAGAAAAGCCGATAAGTTAGATAACTAAAGGCTAACTAGTCATTACTTATCTCTCGAAAAAGTTTTATCAAATCAATTGTATTTATATGTTAGATGTTGGAAGTCAATAGACAAGAAACCTTACTTGACCTACATTTCGTACTTATTGGTATTCATCAGCAGTGCATACCTACAACCAAAATGAAAATGTTATCTCCTAGCCGATTTTAATCAATGTCTCTCAGTACTGAAGTTAGAGGATTCATCACTAAGCAATTTATGCCATGACTAACCTTTCCTAGGACTCAATGAAGCACATAAATCGGTCTTCAGTGAGCCACCCCGTGTACTCAGTACTGTTTTTTACAGCTCATTGATCAATGATAGCATCGTTCAGTATAAATTTAGTAATTACTTCTTTCATTCATGCTATTTTATTGCCTATTTTATCGCTCAGAAGCAGCAGTTGTTTAGTTATATATATATATATATATATATATATATATATATATATATATATATATATATATATATATATAAAGTACTATATAACACGGAGAAAGCAGTCTGAATTGACGTCCAATCGGTACATACTCTATTGAACTTCTTGAAAGACTAGGAAATAAATTGATTGACAGAAATTACTGTTGCACTTACTACTGACTCCACTGATTAATAGTAGTAATATCTTGATTTCACTTTTCAGATTGGGATGACAGATTCGGATTATTTGGCTATATTTCATCAAATTATTATGCCTATAGCAACTGAGGTAAATCATCAAAACTGTGAATAAATAATATTCCTTTTTAATCACCTGTCGTCAACCGTTTGATCTCAGTGTGAGAGAATCATTCCCTGAACTGGAGATGGAGGTGGTGGAAGTAGGGAGGTATTTCCTTTTACAACGAGAATTTGGTGGGCTAGTGGATAACACTCTGACATTTTAAGTTATAGACTTTGAGTTCCAGTCTCAAAGAAGAGATAACATCATTCCTTACGAGGCAGGAACATGAAATGGTGGAGAGTATTTGTAGCTAAGATGGATGGTCTTGGTTGTATTGTGTTCTCTGAGTTGGGTTGTCTTTCTAGAAAGCATCTTCAGCACTAACTTCAGTATGAAGTGAGCTGTCAATATCCGTGACTGATTTAGTCGCTTACCTTGACGAAGTGGTCTGTGATTGGTTGTTTCCTTTAAATTATTGTGTGATTGACTGCGTAGATTTTCCTGTGCTTGACCTCTGACCTCTCTGTCGTTTATCATTTTTCTTATTGGTTGATAGATTGGGTCTATGTCTATACATCTACTACTGATTGCTGACTGATGTGAATGCCAAGCTTCTAGGAATTTTCTGATATGTTTTGTGTTTCCACCCTCAGTCCAAAGTTTCTACATTGTCGAAATTGAATTCATGTCCATAGTTGTTATCCACATGCATTGAAATGAGTGATGAAATGTCGTCACGTTTAACAGCCAATTGGCGCTCATGTAGACGAAGGTGAAGACGGCTGTCACTTTGTCCATTATAGTGTTGACTACAGTTATTGGAGTTGATTTTGTGCATGATATTCGGTTTGTCTTCTTTGGTTGTTGCATCCTTTGGTCTGAATGATGTGGTTTGGAGGGAATTTGTTGGTTTATGAGCGGCCACATCAATACCAATTGGTCTCTGTAATCTTGTTGTAATTTCTAATATATTCTTTATGTACGGTAGGATGGTGCGTTTATTGATTTCTGTCGATGACTTTTTAGTTGAGAACACAACACAATTATGCAGGTACATGAACCTGACGAGTCTTGGACAGAATAAAACATGCATTTTGAATGCCACCACTAACTGCTATCCATCAAAGCTACTGAGAATACTCCTTACTATAAATATACTTATAATCGTTACTAAGGTTACTTCTCTTGCCAGATATTCGATTACTTCTTATACACTATCACTAATGGTTGAAGATAAGCTATGAAATCATAATTATGTATTCCACTTCATTTTGTTGCCGTCAACATTCCCCCATAGACTCGAATCCTACATTAGTTGTAAGTTAGGGACAGACAACAGCTTAAGTTTGATATGTGGAGGTATAGTCCATTAGAGTGGCGAGTTGACCGTCAAACAGTACTCCACCTGAAGTGATTTCGTCAGTCAGGTAGCACCATTAATCCTCACACAGTTAGTGGGATTCGTTGCCTACTGAACGAATGTGAACAAGGCTTCTGAATGCATATCGAACTCTCATGACCAATAGGCATATTTTCATGATATTACCCTATAGACTTCAACTGATGATAATTTTTAGGTTGGAATTGATCAGCGACATTTTGTAAACATACCATAGTAGTGCCATTTTTTCAATAACATTTCGATAATATGTTATGGTGGTCATCAAAGGAATACGTTGGTCTGGAGTTAGAGATATATCAGCATTAGTAATATATGATGGTGATCACAATAAGAACACTGCATCTTGTGTTGTTATTTTGGACTGATACACACGAAACTGTAGTTATGCTGGTCATTGTACAAAAAATGTGCAGGTAGAAAAAACTTTCCTCTTGAGGCTAATATTCGTCTATTCATGGCCTTGGGTTTTCTGTTTTATCGCTGTTGAAAATTTTGGTTGGAATATGCTATCATCAAAGATAAGACATCAACGATCTGCGGAACATTTTAATGACAGTATATTAGTTTACATACATTGGAACTTGAGTAGTCCTACAAGAGACTTTTTAACTAGGAAGTTATATTTCAGGGTTGTAAATAGTTTCTAAACTCAGTAGACTCAACGCAGTACACCCGGCGATTAAGTTTACCTGTGAAGAAGGGTCAGAAGACAACAAAGCTTTCTTATTTCAAGACGAACCGGTGAGTCGATAATGAGGAATTTCTCTAGAAAAAGTTAGTAGACGGGGCAATACATACATTTTCTCCTCCCTTCAATAAAAACAACATTCGATAAAAACTTTAAGTTATACAATAAAAGCTGTATGTTCGAAAGATACACATGAGGAGAAACCGATGACTTTGTGCAACACTGATTGAAAATGGATATCCTGATATATTCGTATAGTAACAATAATTACAAAAAATGACTAGAGGGGATGTTCCAGCAGCTAGCAGAAACCCCCTATACATTCCGGTACAATTTAGAGGTAGAGTGCTTAGCGAGATATTAATTCCCAAACTACGCAGATCGATTCCGAGAACTTTTAATGCTGATAAATTACAAATTACGTTTTCCATACGCCCAGTGGTGACACTGAAACCAAAAGATAAATTGCCTAGACTAGCCACTTCTTGTTATGTTTATCAGTTCGACTGTTCCTGTGGAGGCGGTTATGTCGGCCACCAATCTAAGAATTCAACTTTCCGTTCTTGTGAACACCTCCAAGATGGGCTCATTAAAGGTGAGGGGAAGGCAATTACCAGCTCCATATTAAAACACTTAGTTGAAACGTCCAGTAAGATGGGTATGCATAAATCGTTTTCCATTTTGTACCGGGTTAACATCAACTTGCCAAAAGGTACTCGGATTCGAGTCTTTCAAACAGCAGAAGCAGTAGAAATCAGGATCAAACAATCTGAGTTACGTGCACAAAACATAACAGTTGTTACCGCTACAACTCCCTTGGCCGGATTTGGGATTCACAAATTCCTTAGAACCATACCCTGGGTAATCTAATTTTATCATTCCATACTGTAGATATCCCTTTACACATATCTGTAATAGTTTTCACACATTCTCTCAACTAATTTTGTCCTGTAACATGAATACCGTTCTGTCAAGCTATTGTTCCTCGAATTACCTTTCTTAGTTTATTTCGTCCAACTCTCATAAACACCTTCTTATTGTTTTAGCAAACCATAAGTTTATAGACATTAGATATAGTGTGTATTTGTGTAAATCACAGAGAGTTTCAATTGAAATAATTCCAACGTTTCATACGGAATTCTAACCCGAGCTTCCTCAGAGAAAGAAATTTATAGTGTTGTATAAGCCGCATAATCGTTTGGATAATCAGTTAGTCTGAGTTTAATCCCAACCTCGCCTAGTTAACTAGTGCAATAGTTACTAGCCTGTCTTAAGCACGGATAAAGAGGGATGCTTGGGCATAAGACTACCAACCCTAACCCGGAAAACCAATCCAATAGCTAAACAAACTTCAAACCACAAAGGAAATATGAATCATAAAACTAAACTTATTCCACGCTGAAATCGAAAAGACTAAATGATGCCTGTTGGTGAAGGCCTTCAGGAAGCCAATTGGCCGATGTGCCTCCTATTGATGAAAGCGAAAGTAAACATGATGACATGGAAGGACAGCACCATGTATGAACACACCAAGCATGTCCACATTCCAAAACAAATGAGAAGGTATGGCATACAACTGCTAGGAATCTGAGAAAGCACATGGAATGGAAGTGGACTCTCCAAACTCTCAACTGAAGAGGAGTCAATAATCCACTCCGATATTGTCACTCACATGACAACCACGAGCACACTGAGTTCTCCAGTGGATATCATGATGACCCCAACAGCATCGAAGCCTCTCATGCAGTGGACATCAACCTACTCTTGCACAATCACATCATCACAACAACATTCAACTCAAAACGAAGGAAAGTCACAATCATACAATACCACGCTACGCTAGGCTACGCACCTACAAATAATGTGGACGCAGAACAAGACAAGAAGGAGGAATCCAACAGACAACTGCAATCACTAATTGACAACACCCCACTCCAGTTGGCAACATCAAATTCATTCTAATGGGTGGAGTGACATGATTGCCAAACTGTGAGGAGTGGACAACACAGGAGGAGAACCGACCACGGGTCGAGAAGCACTCGGTGAAATGATGAACGAGAATGGAGAACTGTTGGCAGACTTCTGCACATTCAACGATTTGGTGATTGGAGGTGAGGTGGTGTGTACAAACACAAGGATATTCACAAAGTGAGTGACATGGATTTCATCACCAGACACCAGTACACACAAAAATCAGATCGACTTCATCTCAATTTGAGAAAAGTGGAGACGCAGCCTACTGGACACAAGATCAGATCAAGAAGGGGAGTAGATGTAGGTTCACACCACTCACACCACTATCATCTAGTGCAAGGAACATACCTTCCAAATCAAGTTGAAAGCCTTCACTCACAGAAGTTGGTGATGATAGACCACAGTTGAAGTTGAACACCCAGAACAGAAACTGAAATGAAGAACGAAACTACTAAGGACATCTTCACGTCAGTCAGTCAGTCAGTCATCAGGACAAAATGGGGGACATTGAGCAATATCCCTGAAGGGAACTTAGTTTAAGAACACTGGGACTCTTTGAAAGAGATGTCGAAGGAGACCTGCATTACCCTGTTAGGAAGGAAGGAGAAGCAAGACGAGGAATGGATCTTGACAGACACATGGAAGTTGATAGATCAGGGAGAGGAAGATGGTGAAGCAGAAGATAAACCAGTGCATGGATGAACAAAGAAAAGAAGAAGTGAATAGAACATATCAAACACTGGACAAAGAAGTGAAGAAGAGTGCAAACAAAGACAAAAGACACTTCTACGACACACTGGCAAGAGAAGCAGAACATGCTGGGGGCTGGTAGGAGAGACAGAGACCTGACAACACCATATCAAATGACCAGATTATTATCTGGAAAGAGATCAACACAGCACAGATGAAACCAATGAAAGACAGTGTAGAAACTTAGTTACCAAAGAGGAGAAACAAAGGAAACGATGGGCTAACCACTTCAGAAAACACTTGAATCGACCACTACCTGCAACTCGCTCAGTAATACCACCAGCAATCCAGACGCAGAACTATGAATTATCATAAACCCTCCAACAAAAGAAGAAGTGAAGTCTTGGACGCCATAAAGTTGCTGAAGTCTGGGAAAGCAGCAGCACCAGATGGAATTCCACCAAAAGCACTCAAAACAGACGTAGAGAGAAAAATGGACATTCTCATACCACTATTGCAGAAGATTTGGAGGGAAGTAAAGGTACCTGCCTATTGATTAGAAGAGGGGCTACCTTGTCAAACTCCCAAAGAAGGGAGACCTAAGTCTGCATGAACTGGTGAGGAATCGTGGTCCACTCCCATCCACCACAAGCAAAATATTAAGCCGTATCATCCTGGAGAGAATGAAAAATGCTCTGCATTCAAAATTACGACCGGAACAGACTGGCTGGCTGGCTTGAGGAAGAATAAATCATGTGCGGATCAAATTGCAGTTCTACGCTACCATCTTCATAGGACACAGTATTGAATGGTAGGCAACTGGATCTTTACCTCAACTCCATCGGCTTTGAAAAGGCTTTCGATAGCGTCGACCGAAAAGTATTATGGAAGCTGCTTGCTTCAACGCTACTCTTTTAGTGCCACAAACATTTATCAACCTCATTCAACAGCTATATGAAGACAACACATGCCGAGTGATTCACAATGGAAAGCTCAGTGAGTTTTTTGAAGTGAAGACAGGAGTAAGACAAGGCTGCCTACTATCACCGATGATCTTCCTGATTGTGGTCAACTGGACTGAACTGGATCATGCAGCAAACCGTGAGGAGCGAGAAGATGGGCATACGCTTTTTGACCGATGGAAAGACCCAGAAGATTTGGATTTCACCGGTTGTTTGTGTCTGATATCGCCCAAACTCGAAGATCTACAGGCAAAAACAAGTTGACAGAAGAGGCAGCGAAGGCGGGACTTCAAGTGAACGTAGCGGAGACAGAGATGATGAAGATACCCTACCAACAACAACATGCATGGATAAGTATTAACAATAGAAACCTAAAGGAAGCTATCTCTTTTACCTACCTACCTACCTAGGCAACTTCGTTTCAACTACAGGCGGCAGCACAGACGAGGATGTCAAAACCAGGATCGGAAATGCGAGATAGGGTTTCATTAATCTGAAATTAGTGTGGAGATCAAATGCACTCAGCACAAAGAACAAGATGCGGATTTTCGGTATTAACGTCAAGTCAGTGCTTCTATATGGTTCAGAAACTTATCGCGTCACGAAAAGCATTTCTAACAGACTACAAACATTCATCAGCAGCTGTCTACACTGGATGCTGAGGATCAGATGGTCAGAAAGAATAACCAACAAGGAACTCTGGGAACGAACCAACCAAGAACCCATCACCCAACAAATATGGAGAAGAAAATGAAGATGGACCGGATTAGGCATACACTGAGAAGACCATTCGGAGACATCATACGCCAGGTCAGGCCATCTAGTTAAATTGAAATGGGAAACAACGAGTTGGGCATCTGAGACGAGGATGACATGGAGGAGATGGCATGAGGAAGAAGTGAAAGCTTGTGGGCAGTTGTTGGGCCAGGTTAGGAGGACTGAAGAGAACAGAGTGCAATGGATGCGTGCTACTGAAGCCCTATATTCCACTAGGAACCCAAGGGATAAATAACAATAATAATAATAATAATAATAATAATGAATTGAATGCCAGTAACGATAGATTCTATTACTAACGTTCACATAAGACTTTTCTGAATTGATTTCCTCAGCTGTGTAATATTATTTAAAAAAACTTATGAGCGAAAACTCAAAATTGTTGACGCATAATGGCTCCCTATATACATATAACTGTAGGAACCGAAAAAGGAGTTATCGAAAAGACTATTCTTCGTTCACTCAAATGGGATTTGAATTATAATGGGGATTTGTAATGATTCCCCAGCTACTAAAGACTTTCATCTTACTTCAAGAACTCTATGTGAATCGTCTAAGGCTGACTTCTAGAATTTCGCGAATTTCCTTAATATTACCCTAATTCTGGTTCGAAATACCTATAGTATCATCTTCAAGCTACAAGACCTCATTTCTCACTCACATTTTTAATACAGGGCTTATTGCCCCTGACTTTTTAAACCCAGTCACTGGTATGTCATATTGTACCCATTGGAAGATTCTGTTCCAGAAATAAAGAATAGTATACGAGGAGTATCCAGACGGTTCTTAAGCTGAAACTGTTGACAACCTCCTCGACGAAAAAGTGCGCAGGAAATGGTTAACTTTTCAGTTGGAATCTAATAATGAAATGAGAAAGTCTCTTACATTTCATACAACAGATTTACTGCGTCTAACGATTCCTTCCCTACCTTTTCACTGTTTTTACATATGTAACCACCAGCTGTTGGTAGGTTTTCGTCTAGTCAGTATGTACGCTGTTGCAAAGGGGCACATAACAGAGCGTCCGTTTTGAGATGACCATAAGAATCTGGAAGAGAAAGTCTTGAGTCAAAGATTTGGAAATTACACAGCTATAATTCACCAGAAGAAGAGACAGTCTAAGGACCCAAGGTAGAAAGTGGATAAATCAGGTTTCAAATGCGTTACACCGTTAAAATACGTTCTCAGAGTTGCACGATTCTGATTGGGCGTTTCAGGGTCATTTAGTTGCCTGTCTTTTGCGCCAACCATCTTTGCCAATATTACCATTATTACCTATAAATTAGAAATTAGGTCTGAAATTTTGACTTCATTTACTTTGAAAATCACCGTAGTGATGTAGAAATTTTAAAGAAAGCATTCTGATCTCATCTTAGGGATAGGGCAGAAGTAATGGGAACCTTTCACACTCTACCTAGATTTAATAACCTGTTATGGTATACTATAGGAGTATGCGGATCCTTCAAGTCGCTGTAGTCGTTTATAAACAATACTTACACTCCGAATTTCCGTACATAGTCGGACGTTGTAATAAACCTTGTGTTGTTTTATCCCCGTTTCTATTATCGGAGGAATTCAGCGACTTTTCTATGATAGAATTAGAAAGTTATTGTTATTGTCCAGTATACATTATAAGCATCTGGAAAAAGTTATTCTCCTATCAGCACTTAAGCACCCAACCTTATTGGTATTAGTTTGCATGAAACCAAAGTATTTTGCTGATCTTCTCAGCCACGCTTTAACTGTAGTAATGTAAAACCTTTCCTAGACAATTACTAAAGGGCATTTATACTCTCAGCTTATTAATCCATTTTACCCTGGTAATTAATAAGTCCCATATTAACACCTAACGTAGAAGAGTGTTCTCTGTGGAATAAAACACACCTCTGCTTAATAAGAGATCTGTGAACTTAATAAATGATGAAATACAAACTTTTAGGAGTTTCAGAACGATACCTTCATGAAAACTGGTACTTAAATAGTTCGTACTCACTAAATTAGGATGAAATTTGTGCTGAAAAACGAAAGAGTAGCTATAAAGCTAAAAAGATGCCATAATCAATCTTGTCTGATCGTGAATACGTGCCCTCCTTTTTGACATTTGAATGAAAACAAAATTGTGATAGGAACTTTTTATTTAATAAAACCATACTACTACAAATGTAAATAAGTACCTCGAATTCACCTTGAAAAAAGAGTGAATTGTCTGAAAATTGTGGCGAGACTGATTTCTATAAACATTTTGTCATTACATGGGATAAACAAGATGTTGGCATTAATGGTTTTTCATAAATGCTGTAATCTCTTTTTGTTTTATTTTTTAACTTTAAATGTTACAGTTTAACCCTCAACTAGTATTAATCTCGTGTGGATTTGATGCTGCGATTGGATGTCCAGAAGTAAGTGGTAAATTTGTCAAAATTTAAAACTGTGTTGTGCTGTACCGAATTATTGTTCAGATGCTTCAGAAGAGCTTGAAGGCACTCAGAGGTAATTGAAATACTCTGAATTTTCAAGGAAAGGTATGTGACTGATTATAAGATTGATTGAAGAAACAAAATCCGTGAAGAGAATGAGTGTATCCAAAAGCCTGGGAATAATCAAGGTTACTTTGACTATATTTATAGAGTTGAAATTACATGCATACTTTAATGCTTTGTTACATTTTCTGTTATCCTTTCCGAGAGGGTAACAAAGGTGGAATCATGAAGGTGGATTGTTCAAGCGTTCACTGCCGTTAATAAGGATATATCATACCATATAAACTTAATGGTTATTCTGTTGTTCAATTTATATTTAGCGGGGGCGAGTAAAACAAATATTCATCATGATATGACTATCTAAGATAGCCGTAGTTTCGCAGACTAATATTTGTACTGGGTGATGATTGAAGGTGGGACGAAAATCTGGACTACGGGTGGAGACGAACCAGTGACCACTGGGTTACCGGCCCGGTGCTCTACCAACTGAGCTACGAGGTACAAATGTTTATTAATTCATGCACACACACAAGTTTGTGAGAAGAGAGAAAATGAATCGATGAAGATTAACGAAAATATTCAATACTTCGAAGGTGGCAAACGTCGTATATATCTACAGGATTGTGACCGATTTCGAGACATATTGTCAGAATTGTGGAATTCGTTTTGTCAGCGACTAAAACTTGTATAAGAGTTATCGGATTTTTAAATCGTAAATGGAGTAAACTCAGGTTACGTGCATGTAAAAGCAACAAGATGTGATTCAATGTTAACAGTTGTATTGTCACAAATTCCATCTATGATTTGAAAAGTCAAGTACATAGTAAGCTACTTTGAGCATCGGCTTTCAATATGAAACCAGCTGACCATAGTATACACCGTTATGTTGAAATGAAGTTACATCTGGTTGAACTACAAGAAAATAAGAAGATAGTGGTTCTCAGTAATGAAATAAGAGAAAAACTTGTGAAAAAGTATGAGTTCACACTAGATTGATTATTTCATTGATATAGCACACAGTGATACAGTATTATTATTATTATTGTTATCATTATTATTAATATTATTATTATTATTTGTCCCTTGGGTTCCTAGTGGAACATAAGGCTTCAGTAGCACGTCTTCAGTGCATTCTGTTCTCTGCAAACTTTTGAACCTGGCTCCACGACAGCCCACAAGCTCTCATTTCTTCCTCACACGATCTCTTTCATGTCACCCTCACCTCGGACGCCCAACTCGTCACTTTCCATCTGGGTTCCACTCGAGTGCCTGGCATGTGATGTCCCCCAATGGTCTTCTCAGTGTATGCCTGATCCATCTCCACTTTATTCTTTTGCATATTTGTTGAGTGATAGGTTCTTCGTTGGTTCGTTGCCAGAGTTCCTTGTTGCTTATTCTTTCTGGCCATCTGATCTTGAGTAATGAGCTTAAGCAGTTGTTGATGAATGTGTGTAGTTTGTTGGAAATGACTTTTGTAACGCGCCAAGTCTCTGAGCCATACAGAAGCATTTACTTGACTGGGTTGGTGTTGAAAATCCCGATGTTGTTCACGCTTTATGCTGAGTGCAGTAGATCTCCACACTGGTTTCAGGCTAATGAACTCCTGCCTTGCTCTCTTTCCGATCCTGGCTGGCTTTCACGTCCTCGTCCGTTCCTGTGTTGCCTGTTGTTGAAACGATGCTGCCTAGATAGGTGAGAGAGGCTACTTCCTTTAAGTTTCTCCCATTGATGGTGATTTGAGCTTGTTGGTGGCGGTGGTGGTGGCGCTGGTTGCGTATCAAATCACTTCTACCTCTGTCTTCTGTACGTTAACTTTAAGTCCCGCCTTCGGTGCCTCTTCTGTCAGCCTGTTAGTTTTTGCCTGTAGATCTTCAGGTTTGTGTGATATTAGACACAAGTCATCGACGAAATGCAAATCTTCTAGGAATGTTTCCTCAAGCCAGGAGAGGTTGTGATACAGTATAGTTTATTGAATAATGTTTGCACTGGAATTTATTGTTCATATTCATATCAGCGTAACCATACGACTTTCAAATACCGTTTATATAGTCTAAAAGTACTTCATTCTTTCATGTGAATGCAGTAAACTTTCCTAAATATCTGCTATATGTGATGAATCATTCCTGTTACATGTGTGTTAGGTGTTGATTCAATTGACAAAGATTCTATGATCAATCTCTCCCTGGGTTGGATTTTGGGGTTGTCACCCTATTCCACCTACTCTATTGTATGATTATGGGTTAGTGTATGCAGAGGGATGGCCGAGATTTTCTCTAAATTACTCATCTTACTACAGTCTACCATTGTATATTTCGCTACATTTTTGTGTTCTGCTATTATGATTGACACAAATCGACTGCTTCGACCTATATACTTGACTTCACAATCACTACACGGTATTTGATAGGTTAGATTTTTTTCTCAGTTAGCTCAACTGGATCTTTTAGCCTACAAAATTTCTCTCCGGGCGTGTTTCTAGATTTAAGTGCCACCCTAGTTTCATTACTGTACAGAATTTCACGTAAAACTTCCGATATACCTTCTTATACGGCAACACTACATAGGATTTTAATTTCCTCTTAGTCATGTGCTAATCATCATTAACATCATCACTCCTTCTCTTATCAATCCTTATAAACTTTTCAATAAATGAAAATTAAATTAATAATGAAGAGTGGTAATATTTTAACAAGAAAGTTGAACATAGACATTTATCAACGAACTATTCATGAAGTAAGTTTAACTGATTCATCTTTTTCAGTTAGAATGGGACCAAAAGTGATAACAAATTGAACTGTAGTCTCACTTGTCAATAATTTGAATTGCACATCTATTACTCATGGTATTTTAATACACATGATCCTCTTTATGAAGTAGAATAGAGGAGGAACGACAATTGAAGCAGAATAACAAAGTACCATTTTATTTCATTAGTTCCTCGTCAGCAGCTTACTACCTAAATACACTTAAATGTTATATTATAGAAGAATTAAGACATATTTCTTTGCAGTTAGATGATGTAAGTTGATAGGTTTACCCTTTGGGTCGTTTCCTTCGTATCCCATTTTTAAATCTTTATCTTATACTACTTAGTACTTTTGAGTAGTATATTATATTTTCTTACAATACTACTTCATCCACAGCCTTGACTGTTCATTCTGTTCAATCGTATCTTGTTCACCATAGATATCAGTATCTTTCACAGTTCATGATTTTGTTGTAATTTCTTTCTTTATTCGCTGATGTTATATTTTGCCTTGAACATTTGTTTATCCTGCGTTTTTACCTTATCAAGAGAACTTACGCGCGTCTTTTATATTCCCTTCTGGTTGCTTGGACATAGCCTTGCTGGTTTTCCTTTTGACTCAATCTCTATAAAGTTCTTTGATGGTTATAAATCAGCAGATATCTCACGATTGTAGGTTCGTGTTTTATTACTCAATATTGCTCATTAATATAGGACCGTATTTCACACAAATCCTGTGTTTTGGATTTTACGTGTAACTTGCTCGTTTGGTTTATTGTTGAGAAGTCGCTTGTTCGCTTTGGTTCCAAATTTCTTGGAAAGAAATTCACAAGGGATTACGTAGGCTAGTTGGTGATAAGTAACAGACAAATCATGGGGTAATAAAATGAGTCGAACTCAGATGGTAAACTGAATGTCAAAACTATGTGGGAACACAAAAAAGCTTCCATCAAAAGATGATGTCATCATCAAATAAGTGGAAAAGTAAAGTAGTAAGTTACCGGGGCAAAGAAAGACTGATTACTGCTTTTTTTGAACGTACACTTCCTAATTCAGTCTTTTCAGGGAAACAAGCACCTTCAGTAGGGCAGTCACTGAGCGTCCCATAGACTCAGGGCATGAAATAGACACTTTGGAACCCTTCCAGATAATCAACAAACAACATATTTCAAACCTCAAGTTCGCTGAGGTCGTAGAGGTCGAAAGACTGAAATTGGAGTTGTGTGTTCCACGAGAAGCAGTGACCAGTCTTTTTTTGTAATGTGGTGTTTAAATGTTTCTAAGTTGTAAGCAGCTAACCAGGAATCAACGAAATCAAATGGTACCATGTTATTCTGCTCCAATTGTTATTCTTTCTATGTTCAAACTGTCTTGATTAGATTTATATTGGTGTTCCAGCATTTGTTTAGTAAGTAATCTTTTACAGTAACATTTCCTGGCAGAATAAATTTATAGTTAGGCAGTTTGAACTGTGTAGCTGGAAACCTACAGGAATGATGAAGTTTCTTTTTATCTGTTACCTGTTAAAATCTTCCTCTTAGCACTATCCTGCAGGTTAACTTGTAGCAGTCATTCCGAGTATATGTTTACTTCCTGTCTGACTACTTCACCGTAGACATACGTTGAAATTGCTCACGAAGCAAGAACGAATTGCTTAGTGGGTAAGAGGATTTGTCGTGTATACGCAGCAGAAGCATGAATAGTCCAGTTTTCCAACCCTTAGTGTTAGTCGGATGAAGGCAATCTGCAAGAAACCCTGGATCTAAGTTTCGTGTCTGTTAACACTCGTCAGCAAGGCATATATGCAACCTCAACAGAACTAATATCCCGCCTGGGACTCGGATCCATGTTACCAAATGTTTTAGTTGTAACCGTTTCCACTGAGCTATTTAGGACGTGAGTGGCTTCCTGTAGGACTGGATTAGATACATTGATCGGTCAATGAATTTTTCATATATTTATTGAAGTGATACATCTGGTTGATTATAGTGCCATGAGTGTGGTCTTTCCTACCATCTCTCTTATGGTCATAGAGTTGTTTACCCTACAGTTAGAAATACTCGATTTTCAGTTGAATTTCAGATCCCGTCCGTATCGATCGTCTTTCAAAACCTTCAATCTCCTCACTGCAGCCACTACTACTGCTACTGCTACACGAACAGTCACCACAACCACAAAAATTGCTATTACTGCTACCACTAATTTCGGTTTGTAGTGGCGACGAGTACTACAGTAAAGCTTCCATACACCTCTTCAGCTAAATTCCTTTTATATTGTTATCTATAAATAAGTTACTTATCCTTGATCATATCATATGCTTAGAATTAGTATTATAAGGAATAACACTTTCTTTCTGTTTAAATATAGGGTAGAATGTGGTTAAGTCCTATGGTCTTTGGTCATTTTGTACATGAATTAAAATCTCTTGCTGGAGGCAAAGTTGTTGTTGTCCTTGAAGTAAGTCATCCTTGATATAATTACCAAAATTTGTATCCAAGTAAGTATCTTGAGTTCACTGGGATGCACATTTTAGCAGTTTAAGTGCTATATAAGTTTATTGTTCGACAGTTAAGTGTTTACAGGATTATCCTAGGCATATTTTTCAATGTAGATTCAAAAAGGTGTAAATATGGAATTTTTCCGTAATATTACTTCACTCTATCATTGAAGATCAGTATGCTAACCTAAAGTCAAATCAAGTGCCCTTCACTTGTCAAATAACACAATCTAAGGATAACTCAGATATATTAAACTGATCAGTAGAAGGTAACTAACTTCTTAATGTTTAGTTCTATGTGTTGGTCGTATACTATCAATCATTTTTCAATGTGACTGCCAGCCTAGAAAACTCATCAACGCGATGCACTGAGGCAGATGTTAATAACATGCAGGCGAATGGTAGTAAGCCCTGAACCCATATTTTGTGCTTTCTCACCTCCATCCAACCAACATCTATCTCAGTGCATTGCGATGGGGAGTATCTTAGCTTGGTGACCACATTAAATAAAATGGTTGATAGAATTTGATCAGCACAGAAGACTAGATGGTATGAAGTTACTTCACTCCCACGGACTAATCAATGAATACAATCCAGTTATACAGGAGTTTAATTGTGAAGCAAGTAACTCAGCTGTAACGTCATCAATTGTGGCACTTGTTGACACGGATTCGAACTTTTGGTGGATATCCCTTCCTGACGATTGCCAAGAAGCGTGGAACTTGAGTCCATGGCCTTCTACCCTTCGCCTCTATCTGGCTAACATCTCAGATATCCTCCTCAACAATAACTACAGTAGGTGTTGGACCATGTGAACTGCTAAATCTATAAGGAACTGGTTTTTTCAACTAAGTTAATAATTGACCGAACTATTAACTCTTGTCATCCAATTACTTGTATATCGCGACACCGAAATAGATATCAATGATAATGATATAAAATATGTTGGATTATTATATTCGAAGTTAGATTTACCAAACAAAAGGTAAAAGTATCTAGAAATTTCTATATGGATAACTTTTAGGGACACTGGAAGCCAACAAACTTAATCGCTTACAACTTCCTAGAAAAATGACAGGAAAATTAGTTAATTATCAATGTACGAAATACTTTAGAAGCTAAAACCTGGTAGAGTTGAAAAATCGTGCTGGAATTAGGCTTCAAATCACAGTGTAGAAGTTGCCTCGTGTAACTTAAACATGAAACTTAGTGGGAATATTCTCTGAAAACATGCAGCTCACTATGGATAGGGTTCAGTTGAGTTGTCAAGAGGCAAACCCTGAAATATCTTGCAAATGTTAGTAGTATATGACGGTTAATGATTAACAGTGAGATAGTTTCAAAGTCACTTAAGTTTAGTGTCATTCTGGGAGGATTTTTCTTGTGATTTATCCTTGTTATACTGAACTAAATTGATTGGCCTGTGTTGGCATATGGGCTACTATGCAAATGTTTCGATTTTGTCTGAAGATTGTGTTATAATTTACAGGATTCTGCTTCCAGCCACTACTAACTAGATATATTTCAGAAATTGATCCATAAAACTTGAACTACTTGAAATTAGTGAGTAGTATAACTTTTTATTAGTGTTTATACATGACATATTGGCGTGGTAATATAAAGTCTAGTTATTGGCTATTAAGCCGAGTGAATGTGCATCATCTTATACATATTGTGATGTAAATATTGATAGAAATAGTGACCAATGGTCACTTTGTATGCAGTAAAAGTGTGGGCTTCCACATTCATTGATGACATTTATTACATATAGGGTGTCATTAGTTCTCATGGGCTAAAACATAGTAATCATGGCGTTCTGAAGTACTTGTAAAGTCAGATGCAGCCACTTTTCACAAGAAGAATAAGAACTTCTGTTTTATACTTCTAGTGAGGTCAAGTAACAAATATTACAAGTCATGAGTATCTAACTAAATAGCTACTTACCGAATGATGAAGTCTACTTTTTCTGTAATTCATGACAATGTTTCAAATTCATTACATACCTAATCAACTATTGTAGGTGATAGAAGATTATCTGTTGAAATTTCTTGAAAGGTTGAACTTACATAATTCAGTCTAGTAGTTAGTTAGCTATTTTGTACATAAAATTTCAACATACATCTGTGCTTATTTTTTTTCTAGTTTCTTAAATTCTTATGTTACTGCTTTTACCTAACTGAGTGATTTTTGAAAGGTTAATCTATTTCAGATTGGTTTACATCGAGGATGTATATAATCTGGAGGATCTAAGGGTGAAGAACAACTGTTAAATTCCAGTTTTAGACTTACCAGCTATAGTTACTCCAGAGCTAATGGAGGGTTGAGCTTAGGATGGTCTGGTCTCATTGAGTTACACTCCCGTGATTCATATTTCCAAGCATCGGTTGATTCTCATTGAAGCCAAACTATCATCCAGTATCATTGATGGTTATCCATAATCTTACACGAAATTCTTGTGAGAGGTGGTGATCTATGCAGTCGACCAGGTTGGATGTCAAGAAAGTTATTCGCTAGTGACAATTGGGGGACTACAAATTGACACCAGTAGGGAGAATCTGAATCTATAAATTCTTATTCACTAGCCAAAATGTAACAGTCTTCCACTTTTATTATACTAATATCCCCCCATATTTACTCACTCATGAATGCTATTTCATCAACTGTAATAGATATCTCCACATAAGTGATTATTTTCTTTATTTATTAGTTACCTAAAACCATTTAAAATGAAATGCTTTGCCATTTCAAAAAAATTTCATAATGGCTTAAATGTCCAGATAATGTTTTTTTGTCCCAGAAAGTTCACTTAAAATACTATATTTACAAACATACTCTGATAATATAACTTCAACTACCTTAGCATACTGATACTTTTTTTTTACCAGACCAATTCTTTTTATCTCCTTTCCGGATAGGGTGGATATTTTGTGGATAGCCTAGCTGAAGGAATAGTTCATGTTTTGAAGGGATTACTCGGCGATCCATTATCCCCAATACAGTTGATTCGACCACCTTGTAAAAGGTTAGCATATGTTTATCATTAAATCTATTATTATGATCTTTTGGGAATAGTTTTTTTATTGTCTAAATCACTAAGTTAGTTAATTGGTCTGTTGATTGAGTGACAAACAGATTGACTGACTGACCGATTAGGACAGATAAAACTAAACAAAACAAGTAGAACAGTCTAATTTGTTATACCTCACAATGATGGATAGAGTAAAATAACAGAAGAAGAGTAAGAGGATAGAAGAACTTTGGAAATATGTGAATAGGTGTTGAAGGTCTTATTTATTATTATTATTAGTCCCTTGGGTTCCTAGTGGAGCATAGGGCTTCAGTAGCACCTCTCCAGTGACCTCTGTTCTCTGAGATCTTTTGAACCTGGTCCCACGACAGCCCAGAAGCTCTCATTTCCTCCTCGCATGACCTCCTCCATGTCACCCTCACCTCGGACGTCCAACTCGTCGCTTCCCATGGGGATTCCACTCGAGCAACTGGCCTGACGCGTGATGTCCTCAGTCGGCCTTCTCAGTGCATGGCCAATCCATCTCCACTTCTTCCTGCATATTTGTTGGGTGATAGGTTCTTGGTTGGTTCGTTCCCAGAGCTCCTTGTTGCTTATTCTTTCTGGCCATCCATCTGATCTTCAGTAGCGAGCCAGCGTAAGCAGTTGTTGATGAATGTCTGTAGTTTATTGGAAATGCCTTTCGTGACGCGCCAAGTCTCTGAGCCATACAAGAGCACTGACTTGACTTGATTGGTGTTGAAAATCCGTACGTTGTTCACGCTTTATGCTGAGTGGAGTGCAGAAGATCTCCACACTGGTTTCAGGTTAATGAACGCCTGTCTTGCTTTTCCGATTCTGACTTTGACGTCCTCGTCCGTCCCGCCTGTAGTTGAAACAGTGCTTCCTAGATAAGTGAAGGAGGTTACTTCGTTTAAGTTTCTCCGTTGACGGTGATTGGAGTTTGTTGTTGTTGTTGATGGTGGTGGTGCGGTATCTTCATCAGTTCTGTCTTCTCTATATTCAGCTGAAGTCCCGTCTTAGCTGCCTCTTCTATGTTGAAGGTCTTAGAGTAGGGTAAATAATGGTTATACCTTTACGATTTGAATAAGTTTGAAGTCAATTATTTAAAGGTATTCAACTACCCTTTCTCATAGTTCCCATCCAACAGCCTGAAATATCCTATTAGCTTAAATCCAGGAGATAACGACTTCATGAGAAATGATATCACATCTCATTTATTTAATCATAAACTGTACATTCCATGCAGCTAGTCTTCACTAATCAATATGAACAGGAAGTAAAAAATCATCATCTCAGCATTATTCCTGTTTCAAAACGTTTTTTTTCCATTAGAAAGTGATGTATCCTTGATTCTTTACTGTCGAGTTAATGAATATTATGCAACTGAGTTGATCTATTACTGGCTGTTTATGAAATAATCAGAAAGTATTTAGCTAATTGCAATCAAGCCTCAAATAGTGAAGAGGATTCTATGAATTTTCCATGCATATTTATAATTTATCTACTTGTTTATCTAAAACTCCAAAAAATTTTGCGCTTTTTGAAAGGTATTCTGCTTATAAGCAATTTTATTGAATGGAAAAAAGTAACCAACAATGATACGGATAGTGATATTTGCACTATATACCCTTGAGATCTATTTTGTGGTACTGGCCTGTGAAATGAAATATCAAACTGATTATATCTGAAGAACCACTAAGCCGTTTATTCCACAATATAGTTTATTTTTCAATTTTACAAGTCAATGAGAAGGAAGTCTTATTTGGTCTAATCGTTGGGTTCGTTGACACAGACTGCTTAGGGGTATCTTCAATTTTCAGAGGACTTGTGTTCTGTCAGAGGTGTAGAACACACAGCACACAGTTCACAAATCATATACTTTACTATTAAACTACTCAGGACTGAGATATCGAATGCTAACCACAACCAACCAAATGACCTAGAAATAACCAATAGGAATTGCGCAACCTTGAAAACGCTTTTTAGCGGTTATAAGTGTATTTACAAAAGTACGGAAGGAGTCATTAGATGTAGTAAATCTATTGTATGCATTGTAATAGACCTCCCAATTGGAAAGTTAACCACTTCCTGTGCACTATTTCGTCAAGGTGATTGTCAGCAGTTTCACTTTAATAACCATTTGGCTACTACTTGTGTACTATTCTTTAAGCTTCGATGAGAAACCTTCCATCGAATCAATATACAATACCAGTTTTTATGTCGACGATATCAGAAGGAATACCTACAGTTTGATCAGTGTGACTACGAAATAAAATCTCAACGCTTTAAGATGTCAGTATTGATATTTCAAACGTGAATTAAAGAAATTGTTAGTTTATCAAGGCTTAAAATAGCTTTCTGAAGACTGACTCCTTACAAATTATCTAATGATACGATAAAGTGTGATGTTGCGTCATTGAGTACAGTAGCCTTATTGGGAAATTGATTGATAGGTTCAGAATTTGACAGTTCTATCAGTTACAATTTGTTTAACAAATCCTTTATACTTTCACCTATAAAATTCTACAATCATTGTACCCTTACATTATGTTTAGCGTTAAACATACTATTGAATTATGCACAGTTGCATTACGTAACCATTGGAAAAGTATCGGATATCAAGATGTTTCTAAAACTATACCACGTCCAAGTTTAAAACATCTACCCATTATGTCATGGTAAGCGTAATGAATTTGCCGCCTGATATTCATTTGAAAACTTTTCATTGAATGTATTTTCTACTAATTACATAAATTACATAAATAGATGAGCAGATTAACGCGTGGAAATAATATAGAACCGGATGCTTGAATGGTTGTGCAATCATAATCATCGTTACAGTAAGATATATATCCATCAATGACCAGTGGGTCAATGCAGAGTTATCAAAAACACGATCCATAAAGTCACAAGGTGATTACGGCTTTAAGGTTACCAAGCGACTGTTCACTGGATTACAATGAATAAAGAAATCATCAATATTTTTTCAGGTGAATAGGGATTTTGATTTTGGACTGACATCATTTGGAGAACTATTTAAAACCTGGGAGCACTAGACAGCTATTTCATCCTATTATAAGACTCCTCAGCATTACGCATCCACGCATTCTACTTGGTTGGCCTCACTGGTTACGACTTCATTTCAGAACTTCGTTAAATCTCATCTCTGAGTAAGTCACTAACGAGGAATGGAGAGTAATTCAATTTGAAGGTTTGTGGTGATTTATTGATTGACTTGAGGTTGATATTAATCACATCCGACTTGGACTGGCTGTAGGTCGGTTCCACGGCAGAAACACCTGTCCAGTGCCCCCAAGTCTCCAATGGTCCTCTATATCCCTAGTTTACACTATAATTCCAATAAAGTTTTATTCACTTGATGATTTTTAGAGTTTTATTGATTTCAAAGCAGTTTTATCATTGACTGATATCAGTTCCCGAAACTTTGAATATCTGGAAGTACTAAGCAGCTGTCTGCTGCTAGTTTGAGAATCCTTGGCAATTCACACCCACGAAGGATTGGGCATAAGACCAACATGTTTTCCAGTGAGGACCTACCCATTTAGCTACTCGATTAGAATACAACACTTCAGTTCTTCTAAATTCTGTCACTTCCCGAAATAGCACGATCACGATCCAGTCTCATCAGCGCTCATTCATTCTAACTCCTAACTTGGGTGAACTTCTTGAAGTTCCGATGAGAAGTCGTAAGCTGTTTGAGGTTGAACAAATTGGGTGGGAAGACAAATACTTGTCGGTGGTATTTGATAATGGTCACACCCTACCGTTAATCAACCGAAGTAGGAAAATGTAAACTAAATCAGGGACCCCTTTAAGTTCTTAATGATTCTCCAACCAATGTCAATCTCTGATGAAAACTACTTTGTTAAAAAATATTAATAGAATACAATGAGGCGTAGCATGTCATTTACACCTTTAGGTATTCAATGTTTAGTCATTTTATCCACCCATCTACTCAGGGAGGTCATACAACTAAGTAAATAGTCTAAAGTGAAGTCATGAGTAACAGTGATAAAGATGGAGGAAGAGGATAAAGTATCTTGGGAATTGTTTATTTAATACACCTAGTTGGAATGGTAAAACAAACTGTAGATGAGTAGAAATTAAGACATTGACTATTGATGTTAGCATGCCGAAATTCATTACTTCCAGTTTAACTTCTTTCGCTGACTATTAATAATAATGATAATAATGCCGGCAATTATGTATCAATGACAAATCTTGATGGTGGCCTCAATAATGACAAAAATAGTTTTACTTTATGAGCATATTTGATAACAATTCTTTATACTCCTATTCCGCCTATCTTTCGCTCCATTTAGGGAGTTAATTACAGACAACAATGAGAATAATGAGAATAAAGCTAAAAAGTGATAATCACTTGTTATTCTAAGACAGAATTTACCATTCCTATTATTTTCTCCTATAAGACTTATAGGATTGTTCTTAAAATGTCTGATTATATATTCTCTTTAATAATATAAGCGAGCTATGCTGAAAAATTAAAACACAGAAATCCCATTGTATTTCGTAAACGTACAACTGAAGTTACTACACCAAAATTCACTTGCTTGAAATGAATCAGTTTGAATATACTACCAGTGGATTCAACCATAAATGAGCGAAAAGGTTAACCAACATGGTAAATCTAGTCTTTGTCTGACAAGCTAATATTTCTAGTTGGTATGAGTAGTATATCTTGTACCAGTGGGAATATTTATGGTATCCAGTGAACAATATATTGTGATTCGGATATTTTGGTTATCGAAGTAAAGTGGCTAGCAGTGGAATTCAGGATGCGCATTTCGTCCTATTTGGGACTCGTCAGCTGGACTTACTTGGTTCCCGGTGAGCAATGTTGTTCCCGCCGGGATCCGGACCCGATGGCGACCGCTCCAAACCCCAGGGCGTTATCCATTACATCACCGAGCCACGGTAGCCACTTCTTGTGCGATGAGGATAATTTTAGTGCTATCGCTTCAAATGCAATCGCTCCCGAGTCCGAATCCTGGTGGGAACAACATCACTCACCGGGAAGCAGGTACATCCAGCTGACGAGTCCCAAATAGGACGAAATACTCATCCTGGATTCCACTGCTAACCACTATCCATCATCACCAGAATAAATTAATTCCAACTGATTTTTCGCTGTTTAGTGCTAATGGCTTAATCAAGGTTATAGTGTACCGGAATTTATAATATCGAAGCCTATATATGATAACTTTACAAGTGTTTTTCTGCATGAATGATTCTGCTTCGTCAGAAGTGTAGAATAAAGATGATATCATTATGTAGTGCGTTGTGTATATGAATTACAGATTGAGACTTGTATGTACACTAGTGTTGACAGTTCTCATCGCATGTACTTTGGTTATATGCGGGTGGGTTAAGATCAGATCAGACTAAGTTTTACTCACTCATTCCTATTTAGACAATTTTGATTCCAATCGATGTGAAGAGATTCCGCTATGAGATGTTCTCTAAAGCCTTTTTGAATAATTTTGATATCGTCAAAATCGACCTTGTGACCTGAAATTATAGCATGTAGAGCTATGGGTGGACTGTTTTCAAGTTGTTTTTTTCAGCTCCATTAGATTCCTACAGGTTCGGGTGAAAGCTCTTCGGTGTTCATTTTTTCTAAGTTTGATTTCACAGCAAGTCTGTTTATGTATACTGTATGAGCGTCTTATTTCATAAACCCAACTTTATTATGAATCTAGAGGGATCTCCTCCTTCGAATGAACTAAGATGCTCTACAATGTGTTTGACGTTTTGTAAAACACTCTGATAACATGAAAAACTGTGACATTATCGTTCACAGGGGGTAGGGGTTTGGGAGAATATACAGGCTTCGTGGTTTCTAATAATCGGACCCTGGTTGCATAGTAAGTCCTTCTAACAACAGCATTAAGTCTCTGTTTAAGGATTCCCCTATGAGAAGTCTTTTAGGGCTCCTCCTAGCTGATATACTTATGTCACACGTGGATAACTTGGCTGAGAACGTAACAGACCAAATCCATCTGTATCGAAGATATGTTAACGACATCCTGATTATTTGTGATGAATCAGGTCAGTCTACTTCAGTTCTAAACCGAATGAACGAAGCACAAAACAGCATATCTTTGACATGCGTAGAAGAGGAAGATGACTGCTTGCCATTATTGTACATATTAGTTAATCGAAGACAGGATAGATCCATAAAACGATCTATCTATAGAAAACCTACATGGACAGGACAATATTTGAACTATCATAGCTTTGTTCAGCTCAGTACAAGCGATCGTTAGTTAGGTGTTCATTCGGTAGAATTCAACGAATATGCACACAGGATACTTTAGAAGACGAAAGAGGAACACTCACTGAGATACTTTTGGGAAATGACTATGCATCAAAATATTTTAGGCAGCACAAAGTAATCAGAGCACCAAAACTAGATCTTCAGTCTGTCCCAAAAAAAATGTCTTTATCAGTCTTCCGTACAAAGGTGACTCTAATATTGGAATCCTTAAACACAGACTTAACGCTGTTGTTAGAAGGACTTACTATGCAACCAGGGTTCGATTATTAGAAACCACGAAGCCTGTATATTCTCCCAAACCCCTACCCCCTGTGAACGACAATGTCACATCCCATTGCATCTACCAATTCAAATGTACGTGTGGTAACACATACATAGGTAGGAGTCATAGATCAATGCAAGTAAGGGCCTCAAAAGATATTCCAAAGTGCCTCCAGACGCAAATTAAATCACGTGAACCCACAAAGGTTGGTAGCAGACGTCCTAGTTCTTCGATCGCGAAATATATCGTCGAGATAGGTCATAGGATTGACATGGCTACTTCCTTTACACCTATTTACAAAACATGTTGGAGACGGATCCTTAAATTTATTAAGGCTTTCGCTATTCGAAAGTTCAAACCACCTTTATGTGTTCACAAACAACTTGTTATCACATTAAATCTTCCTTGATAAATTCAACTATGAAAACTAAGTTTGATGTACTTTCAACCTATTGATTTTCATTGTTATTCGGTGTTTAGTTCAGCCTTCCTCCTACTTGACCTCTTCATTTTCTCACTCCATATCTTCATGAGTTTTTATATAAATACCTACGACAAGTAAGTGTATGGTCAATTAGTTCAAAATGTGTTGTATGAATACATTACACGGTTCAAAAAATTTATATCTTATTGTTTTGTCGAAATTTATAGAGGAACCAATTGTTTTCAAAGATTTCCTAAATAAGTGAACACAGGGTAACACGAAGGATTCCAGACAGAAAAATAAATAATACAATGAAATTTGACGCATTCATTACTGACCAATTATATCTGGAGGTTGGGGTGAATTTTGAATTTTCTGTCGGGGAATACTAAGTTATCAAGACAAACCGTAACGATGAGAACGACGATAGTTGCTCATAAGTGTTGAACAGTGGTTGAACAAAATCATCAGTTTACAAAATTTGAGAAAAGTATAACCCGGTGGACTGCATTCCTGTGTACTGATGATAGTATTCTTTACCTATGATGCATGCGTATCATAAATATATTTCCATAGAAGGCTGATGGTACACATTGGCTTAAGACTTACAAACTGAAGTGATTCACAGACCCTAGCCTAGTTGGTTCCTAGTGAATGTCAGTCTATGGTAATCCCTGCGTTAATTTGATACAGTTAAATTCATTTTGACCCTTTTTATTTCAGTGTTATTATTCAATGTTTATGTATAATATTTATGGAAATGATGTTTTTCCATCAAAGAAAAAATATCTTATTTTTTTAATTTAAAGGTCACTCATGAAAGTGATTGCCTGGCCTGAAACAAATCCTCAATTACCCAGAGTATTAACCAAACAAATTCAAAAGTTATTGGTGAAACACTTTCCAGCACCATTAGCAATACCAATTGACAGTCATGGAGGTAATCTTAAGTTGACCTTAGTTTTGATACCATCGTCATCTTCATCACTATCGTCATCATCGTCTTCATTGGTATCGTCATTATCAGTATCATCTTCTTCTGCTGCTGCATCAACGCCATCTACTATAATTGTTAAGCAGAAAGGTGTTAGTCGAAAAAGACAACGACAGCAAGAACAACGAAATTCTGCTACTCATAGGTTAATTTACACTATGTTATTGCTTGCATATTTCTCTTGTTGATTGAACCTAATTGATTGATCTCTAATAGCATATGATGGTTAGTGGCTAGCAGTGAAATCCAGGAAATACGTCGCAACAGGAGTCACTATAGGGGCTCAATGGTCTTCTGGATAATGCTTTGACATTTGAGGCAATTTGTTCTGGATTTGAGTCTTCGGGGTGGGGACAACTTCGCTCACCGAAGAACAGATACATTCAGCTGACGAGTGATTTTCAAATAGGATGAAATGTAGGATCCTGGATTCCGCTGCTAGGCTCTATCCGTCGCTCACTTATACTACTTACAACTTTCGATGTTATATGTTTAGTGTAAATCAGGGAATGTCTTTGACTGAGGTTTCTAGCTTATTCACACCTATTAAAAGAATAGCGTCCCCTTCTAGATTCCAACCTTCATTATTCTGCGTTGAGGTCAGAAGTCTTACCATTAACCTATTCAAGTTATGGCAGCACTCCTGTAGGACTAAATTATCAATTGGTAACACAAGTTTCCTTAAGGTAGTAAATGCAACCAACGACTGTTTACAGTCAACAAACGGGAAAATCCGGCTTAAAGCAACCTACCTATTCATCACTTGCAAAGTTAGATATCAGGTTGCACGGTCTAGTTGCCAAATCGTCAAACTGTTTAGTGATACATCAATCAGCGCCTAGGACTTCATAAACAGCTACGTCTATGACTAATCAGTGACTAATTCACTGTGGTACAATACGTTTAGTTGTATTTTTTCCTTGACTTTCTTCAAATCAGTCAATAAAGTGTTGAAATCCATCCAGACAGCGTCGAATATTATTGTTACTTTGTATACAGAATATACAACTCCTGAGTACTACATTGAGAACTAACGGGTTAAAAGTAATTTATGTTTTTAAAACTCTTGCCTCAATCTAGTGAAGAACTATGATTCGATATTGTGTTGAGATATTTAAAACTCAGTTGGATGTGCTTGATCAACACTTCTTGGTTTGTTAGTTGGTTGTAGGTAATAGGCAAGAATCCCTTCACCCAGGTCTCATGGTTGTTGGCACTCGCCAGCAAGGAGTATCTATAACCTTGAGGCAACTGACTTCCCCTCTGAGATCTGAACCCACGTCACTCATTGTTGTGGTCGATGATATCACCATTGAGCTATTTGGGTTACGATTGATCTGGTACAGGACTGGATTAGACAACATGAAATTGGTTACTCTTCAGTGGCCAATCTACTTGTATAATTCAGTCCTACAATATGTTAGTTGCATCCGGGGTGACTCAGTAGTAGCGTCTCTGACTGCAGAACCGACTGATGCCGGTTCAAGTCTCACAGAGGACATCATATCTCTCGAGGGTGCAGATACTTCTTACTGATGACTGACGACAAACACGGAACTCTTGTGAACAGCTTTTTACCGAACACTTCCAACCAACTAACAATCATCATCTTTTGTTTCTTAAGTTATTTTACATCATATAATAAGGAACGATATCGTTACTGTGAGTGATTTCACTTAGTAATATGTAGAGAAAGATAGACCAACGCACATGTACATGTACATGTACAGTATTCCTCCAACAAAAAGTTATGGAGGGTCATAAAGAACTACTAATTAAAGTCACTTACTAATGTTATTTAAAGCACAATTCTTCTGTGTATTCCAAACGAGACGTAATTATGAATTGCAGATCACATGAAACTTACTATCAGTAGTTGTGCGAAATGTTTTAGACTGAATATTTACACTAATTAGTCAGTAGAGAGGAACCGGTCTCATGTTGTCTAGTCCTGAGTGCTAATGAAATTCTATCCGTCTTTTTGCAGTGTAACCGCCAAGCTACTAGGCTTACCATCATGGTGCAGTTTGTTGGATATTAGTTGATTGAATGCAACCTCAAAAAAACTGAAGACCCATGTGGGATTCAAGCCTGCGTTAAGCAATGTTACAGTCGGAGACGTTATCACTGAGGTATTCAGAAATTGAGCAGTCTAACCAACTTACAAAATGTTCAATAAATGTAATTGGGTATTCCTTATTGGTGTTCAGCAAAATGGAAGATTATTAACTTAATTGTTCACCTTTCAGCCAATGAGCTATGAGTTTGAACTCTACTCGAACTATTGACATTTAGGTAGATAGGTGGTCACTCAATATGCATAGTTTATAACTTGTGTATGGCTTTGCATATATTATTGCTGTATTTATGAGTAACTCAAATACAATTAAGTGACTTGCTAATAAGAACTTGTGGTTCTTGTGACCAACCAACACTCCTATAATAGCAGTAATATGTGTGTTTACACAGAAGAATGCACAATGTGCGATGATTTTCTTTTGTTTAAAGATGCCCGCTACAGAAGCTTTTCTTGATAGTTCAGTGTGAAATGGGATTAAGAGTATTTAATTCAGAGAGTTCTTGATTGATATTTACGAAAATTTATGAACAAACGAGATATACTACTGAAAAACCTTTATTAAATTTCGAGGGGGTTGTGGAGATTTGGAAATATTTCAAGTTGTTATTCATCGAAGACTGACATTAGTTGGAGGAACAAAGGAAACCGGGGAGCACTGGACAGCTGTTTCGTCCTAGTATGGGACTCCTCAGCAGTGCGCACCCACGACCCCACCAGCAGGGATCGAACCCGCGACCTTCAGGTCCCGAGACCAGCGCGGTACCATTGAGCCACTGATGGCCGTGAGGACAAATACTCAACGATGACATTGGGTGGCGGTTTGCGCTATATCGTGAGCTAACAGAAGTTGGAAATATGGAGCATTGGATTGTGACCCAGTGGCTCAATGGTAACGCGCTGGTCGCGGAACCTGAAGGTCGCGGGTTCGATCTCTGCTGGTGGGGTCGTGGGTGCGCGCTGCTGAGGAGTCCCATACTAGGACGAAACAGCTGTCCAGTGCTCCCAGGTTTCCTTTGTTCCTCCAACTGATGTCAGTCTTCGATGAATAACAACTTGAAACCTTTATTAGTCAGAAACCAACAATACTTATCTGCCTATTTTATCAGCAACATTAGGATGATCTATACTCAACTTGATGGTTCATTTTTCATTTTGGATCAAGTTCATAATCAGTGTACTTAAAAACAGTTATATCACCGATAAAACAAACTGCTCAGAAAAATTGGATGTGATCACTGATAGTGAGTGATGATTGAACTTAGAGTGAATGTTTGCAGTATGAGAACCAGCGGCCTTAGGGTTACCATTCTAATACCCTATCAGCTGGGCTATGAAGCTCAGCTGGCTTCAAACAAATAGGTAGACAGTAAAATAAATATACAAATCTGGTTGACTTGAACACTTTGATTTGTTTATGAGACAAATTCATCTGAGTATATTGCTGAATATGATGGATTTCTAACGAATCACACCTGCTCACTAGTATAGAAATTTGTCTATTTAAGAATATATAATCGCTACAAATCGTTAAATTCAGAGAACAACGATTCATTGCAGTAGACCAGCAACTTTTTGAGATCAGTAGAGTTATATAACATCAATGTAGGTGCTTTTCTGATTTTGGCTTTCGCATACTATGCTAGTGGGGATGAGTATGTCGTAACTGACTATCCAACACCAACCTGAAATCAATCAATAAATCTCCATAAACCTCCAAATTAAATTACCTTCTAGTACTCATTAATGACTTACTTCAAAATAAGATTCCTGAAGTTGTGACCGGTTGGATGAATCAAGTAGGACGTGGATTCCAACCTGCTGGTCTCAGACTCTGAACTTCATGAATTCGAACTGGTGAGGAGTCCCATACTAGGATGTAACAGCTGTCCAATACTCTCAGACTTACAATGGCCCTTTAACTGATATCATTCCTTGATGAATACAAAAATAAAATCAATAAATATTTTCCCCATAAACCCCTACTTGGGACAAGTAAAGCAATCTACGAAGCCTTTTAACGTTTCTAGGCTTTGATATTATTCTTTATGAACACCGATTATTGTTATCAACGCATAATTTATACCTATCAGCTATTTGTCAAGCAAGGTTGTCACCCTCTTCTACTGGGTAGCTGTGTATTGACTATCATCTATCCAATGTGTCACTGATTTATGTATTTTTGTATAAGTTTGTCCTGTCTTATTTTTTTGCCTGGATTTTTATTGTAGCTTATTACAGAAACTGAGTGAACAGGTTCATATACATCTCTATGATGAACATGATTTACTCACAACAGATTATCACTCTCGGGTAAGTGAATATATAAAAATATATGTGTGTATAGTTTTAATCATCTCAAGTTTGTAAGTGGTATTTGTTATTTAGTAGTCAGATAAGGTGAGTAAGTGATGTACAACTCATCGTCAATGACGTCCATTGATGAGGATATCGGTTTTTATTAAATATAAAGCAAATAAAGTGTATTCCAAGTTGATATTCGCCACAGACTGACACTAACTGGACAACTAAAGAAAACTTGGGAACACTAGTATGGGAATCCTCAACACTGCACACCCGAAACTTCGCCAGAGATCGAACCCAGGACCTTCAAGTTTTGCCACCATATCGTTAACACTAAGCCACTGGGTTAAAGTATGTGTTGCAAGTAGTCCTTACATAAATAACCTGACTGAACAGACTGAAATCTAAACAAATCTGCAGAATACCCTGATAAATGTAACCAACTGATCAAAGATGACTATATTCCTCTACCCCTTTCATTCAGTAGCTTATGTTTTAGTAAGAAGTGACTTGTAGCTGGTACAATTATCTTTCACAAGAAAGAAAAAAAGTGAACTGATTATTTCTTTCTGATTGGTTCCGACAAAAAAGATTGACTACTCAGTTGGAGGATTTTATCTTGACCACGCAGTAGCATAAATTGACTTATGAACTGTGTGAAAATTTGTGCAATAGCAGTTGACAACTTAAACTATTGGCTCATATTTCATCTACTTTCCGTCAATTAGATATAAAAAGCGTCAGATCTGACATTACTGTGTTCCAACAAAAGGTGACTCAGTTTACACAAAGGACATGGAGAAGGGAATTAGAACTAGGGGAAACAAAGATTGGAAAATCATAATATCTGCACACTACAGATGCTTTGCAGTTAAGAAACAAGCAAATAATTGATATGAATAAATATGATTTCATGAGAGAGGTATAAGGAGTTAAACAGGAAGCACATGGAAATGACTATAAAGTTTGAGCTTTGATAGACCAGAGAACAAACAAAACAGTCCAAAAACACAATGGAGGAAGGAAACACAAATAAATGACAAAACTAGCCATCTTAATTCACCATAAAGTGAATTGAACAAGTGAGGAAATAGATTATATCAAACACAAATGAAAATCATAATGCAGTGGAACTATGAGATTTTGCTGTCCTTGAAAGACTATCAAGTGACCTTGAAGGCGCCAATAACGAATCGATCAGAAATGAAGTGAAAGGAAATTACAGCAGATTTGATCATTTTAATGGTGCTTGAAAGATTATCTAAGCTTTCGACATGTTATTTTTCAGCTTACAATAGAAGAACGCGCGTTGAAAATACTCATAAATGTGACTACATGAAATTAAATTACTCGAATTATGATATGGACGTAAATTAATCTTTCAAATGGTCCTTTTTCACCTCTAAATTATTCATGTGAACATCAGCACCAGAGGTGAAATGTTCTTTGACTAGGTTAAATCGGTTTGTCACTGAATCAAGCATGGGAGCAATTCTATATCGAACTGTATTTGAACTCAGATCTTCTATAAGTGTGAAGATGGTCCTCATGTAACCTTGTATCACGTAAAAACTTTATTCTCCAGTAAAACATGAACAAAAGCTCCCACCCAGATACCTCAATAGTGATGCCTTTGGCTGTAGCCTTTAGTTTGAATATCTTGACAGACGTCAGTTTCCTTGGGCTTTTGGTTACACCTTTCTAACGACTGCTAATAAGCAAGGAACCTATGCTCGTATCTGACTTCCCATAGCATTCAACCGCTTAACAAAAGTTTCCACCCTGTAAAGGAATACCAAGACCGTAATTTCCGATTATATTTATCTTGATGTTGAAATATTGATACTGAACTGAGGCACGAAAAACTCCCATTCAATATTAACATTATATCAGTCGTCATATCGTAGTCTACTTGGCGGCTAGCAGTGGAGTCCAGGAAGCGCATTTCGTCCAGTTTGAAACTCTTTAGCTAGATGTTACTGAACCACAGTGACCCAAGTGGTCTGCCTCGTGCCGCAGTGGTCTAGTGGGTGAGGCTTTGACGTTCGAAGCGATGGGGACCGGGTTCGAGTCTGCGGGAACAACTCACTGGGGTGCAGGCACAACCAGCTGAAGAGACCCAAACAACACAAAGCATGCAACCTAGACTCCACTGCTAGCTACCAAGTACGGTACGGTTTAGTGAGCGATCGGGAGGCATCTGCATGGTAGCGCATATGCCAAGACAGATCGAGCATTTCGACTCGGTATTTAGTGGGGCCTGCTGATCGGAGTGGATATAAGTAGTATATGTTGAGAGGGAAGTAGGAATCATAGACAGTTGCGAGTTATTTACCTCCAGGAACTCCATCGCAGCTATTGCTGTACCCGTTAGCTGTCTAGTTACCTTAGCCAGCTCACTAATATCTATGGGTTAAGCTGCGTTCACTAGTCGTAGATGCTGGACGATGGAGTTCCGCACACTTTCGGTAGACTGCGCAGCTAGCAACTGTGCCTGGGAGTCCTCATCCAAAGTGGGAAGTGCTCATCGAAGTAGTTTAGTCAGCTTCACAGTCAATATAAGCGAATCTTCGTCTATTCCAAGTTTCGTGCTCCGGCACTGCTGCACCGCCGTCTCCCTGTCCACTGGGCTGTCAAGCTCCGTCTCCAGTCGTTCAACCATTCCCTGCCAAGTCTCCTTCCCATCCCCACGTTCCACGCTGTCATATGCTGCTTTCGCTCTATCCCTCAGCAATGTGCCAACCACCACAGCTTTCGCTCCTGGATCCCGGACACCCACCAGCTCCGTGACCGACTCGAAGTCTCTGAGGAAAATCTTGATGTCTCCATCCTCGAACACTGCAGGCCACAGAATCTTCATCACGTCCAGAAGCAGTGACACCAAATGTAGGAAACGACAAGATGGGACTCAGGAACGAATGTTTATTATTGACATCTTGTACAGTAGTCATCAAATATTGTACACCTTGCACTAAGACAGTCACTTGGAAAATGTGCTTCATTTCCTCTTCTACTTCTATCTTGACTTGCTCTTAATACGCCCATATTGTCTCTTGCGCTTCTCTGTGCGGAATCTTTACCCATTACTGGTAATTCCCTATGATTTCTGCCACCCTCTCAACATGTGCTACTTACATCCATTCTGATCAGCAGCGCCCACTACAAGTATAACACCTGAAAGTTACAGGTATCAGTGAAACACCTCAATTAATTCAATAAAAAACTCTTAGCATGCAAACGGTCTTCATATAACTTTTCTTGTCGAAGTGATATGTTATTTTTACGTGTTTACACTTCGCTCTTTTGATTATAAGGTTTTATTTCTATCGTAGGGACCAACTAAGAAGTCACGAGTCATGGAATTTTCTCGATCAACCTACACTCAACAGTTGGCAGTTACTAGACATATTAATCAAACTAATGACGATCATATCGATGATATCCAGTCAATGAAACAGTTTCCATCAGTTGATAAAAATGGAAAGCCATTGAAAGTTTTACAAAATGATCAATCCAGTCGGAGTGTAATTGTCCCTTTTATGTAATTAGTCCAAAGGGACAAATTATTAAGCATACTGATTACCGTAAAGGATGTAAAAAAGAAGTTTTACCAAATCTAAAAACTGCTCTTAGTCAAGCTTTAATTTCAGCATTAATGCAAGAGGTATACACTCCGTGTAAATTCATATTCTTCTCGTTATTAATTTATTTTTGTATACAGTCGATTAATTTCTGTTTAACTCCATACTAATAAATTGGGAACTTCTAGGGTACTTGAGATCAGTATGGCGTATAGATCGGTCATTGGAGGGCAACCAACTTCATGATATCTAGTCCTATGTGTTGAGTTAATTCTATCGATCATTTTACAATGTGATCACCAGCCTAAAAGACTCACTATCACGATACACTTTGTTAGATTTTACTTGGATAGAGGCAATCGACCTAGTGAACACATCTCAAAATGATTGATAACATTCAATCAGTACGCGGGAATAGACAATATGAAGTGGTTGGCCTTCATTGACTAATCAGTGTATCTAATCCAGCCCTACAGAGGATCAGTATTAACGTCTCTGATTGCAGCACTGGGCGACGCAGAATATCAGTTCTGTTAAGGTTACAGATGCGCCTTATTGAGGAGTATCAACAAGCACGAAATCTAGGCTCAGTGCATCCTGTCGATCACCCCAAACTAACCAACATATTCGTATTCCATAATCAGAATATTGATAAGATGTAGACCATTTTATGCGTTTACAAGTCGAAAACCTTTGTCAAGTCTATATGATCTGTAAGCTAAATCATATCACCAGACTAGAATTCATGTTTTTCCTGTTTGTTAAGCGTGTTGGCAATTTCATCGACTCGGAAATTTTACTGCAAGTTCATGAGTTGGTCAGTGATGAAATCTTGTCATAGATAAAAAATAATTTAATTAACTTTTACCAAATTATAGCACTTGTGGGGCCGCCAGAATATTCAAAACCTATTGAGCGTAGAATTCATTACATAATGAAACACTGTTCAATTATAAGTTTGCGAAGAATGATCTCTATAGTGGCTAGCAGTAGAGTTCAGGACACGCGTTTCTCCCCATCTGGGGCTCGTCAGCTGGATGTACTTGCACCCCAGTGACTGTTGTTGCTCACATAGACTTGAACACAGAACCCATCTCTTGAAACGCTAAACAGTAGTCCCCTAAACCCCTGGGTCACTAGAGCAACCTCTTGTGCAACCAGTATCAAGTGTTTTTTGATACTTCCAGTTTCCGGTTACTATACTAAGTCGAAATGCTCGACCACTCTTTGCGGGAAATAGTTTGTTTTGAATTGTGACTAACTTGTGAAAGATACTTTTCAACTAATGAGCTAAAGAGTGTAATGTTTAGCATGCTACTTTTAATTTTATACAGGGAGTGAATATGTTTGTTTATTAATCTATAACTAAACTTTCTGACTATTGAAAAATCATGAGTAGCACAATCTCGGAGGTTGCAACCTGTCGATGACGTAAATTCAGCTTCAGGTTCACCAATCTTCAGAACTAACTTTTATACATTGATTACAAGTTGGTATTCCCCAAGGACTAGTTTCAGTTTTAGAATCATCCATGACCCTACCACAGGGCTAACCCTAAGCATCTGAGTTTCGTGGCGAGCTCGTTAGCTTTGAGTCGCTGGGTTGGAGTTCACTGGTTCACATTTCTTACTTCTTTCAGTTTGCAATAAAATATGACCTTCATTCAATGACAGTTTTTCCTTACTTTAGAATGAACTATGAATGCTGGTTTCATTTGCAAACAGCTTGAAGTAACAGGACTTAGCCTACACCCATCTTGACGCGTTTCGCCCCACTTAGGAGTCGTCAGCTAGATGCATATCCGCCTAGATGAGTGGTGTCGTTACTGAAACGCGAACCAAGTACCCCTCGCTTCAGACGCCAGAGTATTGTCCTCTAGGCCACTGAGGCGTGGCAGTCCCCCTAAATCTACTACATTTTTTAAAGTAATACATTTTTGAAGGAAAAAATACTACTCATTAAGAAAAAGTAGTGTGACAGTTCTAACCCAAGTTTTTAATTCCTTTTCAGTTTCATACGCTTTATATTGCTGGCAGCTCGTGACTTTCTTACATTTGATTGAAGCTGTAACACAAATACCTCTCAATTTCTTATCAAATTATCGTGAAGGAATATTTCGACCACGTTATTTCCAACCAAATCGGAGCAATAGTAATGGCAATAGTGGTAATAATGTTAATAATGAATTGACAAATACATTTCGACAATTGAAGGGTAAATCACTAACTAACAGTCCGTCGATTAAAAATGAAACACTGAGGCAGTTGGTAAATGTTTACTCATATCCCCATGAATCAATTGCTCCATCTGCTAAAATAACATCTTCATCTTGTCTACCACCTTCAGCATTATCATCAGTATCACCATCTTGCTTGCCATCATCAAAAACTACATCGTCATCTTCTCCATCAGCGACATCGTCTTTCTCATCACCATTAAAAGTAAGAGAGAAAACAAAACATGTGATTCATTTTGTACGAAGCTTTTACGTGTGCGTGGATGTCTGTACATGTTTATGCTTCGGTGGTGTCTCGACTCACATGAAAGAAACCCTAGGTTCAGAGATCTTGTACAGATTACTATCGGATATTCTATTGGGGCGCTTAACCTAGTTTTCACTAGGAATTAGATGTTAGGATGCTGTTCAACACTATGTGACGATAAAAGTTTGCATCTTATCCTAGTGTACAGAATGTTCTTCCTTGACTAAAGTCTCCTTTTGCGTTATTAAACAGTACAACGTATGACACTCGGTGGGTTGTAGACTTTGCTGTGGTCACAGTTACGTCCAACTGTTGAACACCACAGGAAATTAAATCTGGACCCCCAGAGGTTACCAGCGAATCATAGAAGAACTATTACACTAAGTATCATCTACATTATACGGGCATTCAGAAAGTATTTAATCTGTGAGACGTGAGTTTCTCTAATAATAAGCATAAATGTGGGTAAAAATGGTCGATAAAAATCACAAATCAAGAGAAAAGCAACATGAAGACATGGGAACACTAAACTTTAATTATTCAGTATTCTAGAAGTCTTATAGCTGAGTGAACAAGTTAGAAAGCATCTAGTAGCCAGGTTTTTATGTGGAAATCAAACCAATGAGTATTCTGAAAATTGTAAGATATCATTTGAAAGTAGTTCTTGCTTATGGATTGACGTCAGCTAATTAGTCGCTGAAAACTTGGAAGGATTAGATATTTTGGACATTTTGTCCCAGCTGGGGAATCTCCAACAGTGTAAGCTCATGACCCCATGTAGGCTTGAGCAAATGACCCTGAGGTCTCTCAGTGACCTAGTTACGATACAGCCATTGGGTTGGAACCTATAAGACATGTTTTTCATTCTATTTTAGAACTTCTCGGTTGTTCGATTAGATTTTATTTACACTCTGTTACACAGTGAATAAATAAGAAAATGTTCCTTTCAGACAAACTACAATGAATATTATGCATCGGTTGACACGAAAATCTTTGCTTTGTATAACTTAAATTTGAAAACCAGTGAAACAATGAGAATCAATAAACCCAAAGCTGAAAATACTTATCACCATGATATCAAAACACTGAATTGTTTTGTTATATTGGTCTTCATTGGAGTTCTCACGAAGAAGGACGGAAATTACAACAGTACATTTGTTGGTTTCCACAGTACACAGTTAAAGACTATCATATATTTCATGTACAGTTATTGTGGTCTGATTTGGTACTAGCATTATTGACACTGCACGTTTAAGGCTGTCTAAGTAAAGGATACTTATTTACTTGATAGTGACTAGGTTTGGAAAACAGGATACATGCTTCGTCTTGCATCCCACTAAATGCTGGCCTCCTCAGTAATATGTCTAGTGGATAACACTCTTGTGTTTGAGCTGACGGGCTCTAGTGCTGAGTTTTAGTGTGTACATCACTCAGTAAGATGCAAGTACATGTAGCTGATGAGTCCGAAATAGGACGAGACACGTGCACTGAATTTCACTAATAACCATAACCCAGCAAATATATCATAATTAAAATCTAGGCAATGCCGAAGTATCTGTCTATACATAGACTCACATGTTAAGCCGGATTGATCAGTTTGGTCCAGTATTGTAATCTACCGGAAATTACAAGTAACCAGCCAAAAAATAAAGTATGCTTACACAGAGTTTAGATGCATTGAAGCAATTCATGAGGCTTGATCGGCTTGGCAACTTAACCAGTCACTATATTTATCACAACACCTTAAAGTGAGTCAGAATCTTAAGCATAGGAGACAAAGAGAACAACTCCTTGCCTAAACAAGCTTTAGATCCTAGTAACTAACGTCTAGACTGGAGTGCTTAACAGTCGATGTGGTAGGCATTTTTAACCTTGTTAGCTTATCTACTCATGTATGTTAGAATCGTGGTGTCTATTGCTAAGGTTAAGGATAAAGTAGTAACAAAGATCGTTAGTCGGTTGATGAATTTGTGAGCCTTCTCCAACTAAGATGGTTTGGACATATGTGGCTTATACCGCATATCTACTTTGACTAACAATGTTAGATGAAGAAGGATTCTGTCGGAAAAATAGGGGCAAGGAAAACCGGATTAAAATGTCGCCTAAGTCCATGGAGTCTCTAATAATTTTAGCCATATGATGAGGTGTAGACTGACGCCCTCTTTACAACACCACTTCCTGGTTTGAAACTCTTGATAATGTAGTAAAAGTATACACTCTTTGTTAAGTTCGAAGTCTTATGTGATTTCATTAATCTGAATTTATTTATCCTCTCTCCTTTCGTACACTTCTACTTACCTCTCTTATCATCCACTTCTTCTTTGTATGCAGGTGTGTAGCTTTGTAACTTGAATTAATTCACTCCTGTGTATTCATCCTCTTATTTCAGTCACAATCAAATTATTATTCAACTGAAGAACAAACGTACACTTAATATTTGTTTTCTCGTTTATACTACCCGGTTTGGTTGAAATGTATCATCCTTTGATAGCTTTTGTAACCAAGTCCCAGTATTTAACTATATATTATTATCTTTGCTTGTCTTTACCTAAAGAATGATAACAACTCCTACGAAAAATCAACTGTTTACCATTTCATCAAATCTGAAGATTTCTACACTAAACCATGTCGTCTACTGGTTCTTGATATAAGTGGAGTTAACGATTTGGAAAATATTAATCTACAACAAGAAATTAATTCATTACCAGGACCATTATCACAAAATATTCAATGCGAGTAAGTATAGAGTATAATTTAAAGTTTATTTTCCATAAAACCTGACCAAGAAATGTTGTTGAACTGGAATTTCTCACTGGTGTATGAACAGCTAAGTAATACTATTGGTAATAGACTTGATTGATTCCAGTTCTGCGGTGAATAGATCAAATTTAATGAAGTAACAGACAAAATTACAAACATTATAACATCAAACGACATACGATACTCATATAAATTATAACTCGGCGTTACATGAGTTAGTCATATTTTCCAACCTTCCGGATAAATCAAAAGTCAAAAAATTGATTAGGGTACAAAACAATTAATAAAACTCAGACACGGTACAGATATACACAAAATAATATTTTGTCAGTAAAAGGCACGAGAGTTCAATGCAAACACAACACTATAATAAATAACTAAACATCAAAAGCAAGTGCAAAAATCCAACGACGAAAGCAAGAAAAAAGCATGTGTATGTGCGCCCACGCATCGGTAAGAGAGCGTGAGATAAGGTGGGTGGGAGAGAGGTAGAGGGAACGAATGACTGAGTGACTGTGTGTTTACGCGCACTCTCTATGGCGCGTAATCCTTGATCAGATGCGACTTGTAGCTGACTTGAATCGAGCGAGTCTCGACGGTGTCGGTTCGTGGATGATGCTGATGGGTAAACGTGTTGCCCGAATATATATCTGTGCGAAAATTCAGGTGACCATCCACCGACAGGCTTGTACGAGTGTGTGTGTGTGTTTAATCGTAGATTTAGTGTGTGAGTGTGAGTGGATTCGTGGAGGAGAGTATCGAAGTTGGGATTGTGGTGTTCAGGGGATTCAGGGATTAGGGTGGGTTGAAGTGAGTTGGTTGAGTCGCCTTGTAGTGCTGAGACCGTGAGTTTTTCTGTGTTTTGCGTGTGGTGTGTTTTGTGCAAGTGTGAGTGTGGTGGAAGTGTTTTCGATTGCAATGGTGTTTTGTGTGTTGCAGAGTGAGCGATGATCGATGTGATCCGAGTGACTGAACGACAGAGTGTTGCAGTGATGCTAGTGTTATGGATGGTGTGTAGCGTGAGAATCGAAATGTGAGTTGTGTGAGTGGCTTTATAGGCCATCCTGACAACTGCTCGAATGACTGAGCAATTGGGTTTCTATGTATTTTGTGAAAAACTGCCTTCCCAGCCAAAATAGGGAAAGGCGGATGGTTACTTCTGTGGTTTCTAGGGTGGCCTTTAGAATCACCCTAGTTGTGTGGTGTGTAGTGTGTAGTGTTGTTGGTGATTGGTTTATTAAGTGTATGCGTTAGATTGTTGACGATTGTGCGTGCAAGGTGTTGATCTGAGTGTTTGTGTTGTTGAAAGTGGTGGATGGGATGTGACAGTTGTGTATATAGAGAATTGTGAGTTGGGGGGCGCCCGGCGATAGCTCAGTTGGTAGAGCGGAGGACTGTAGATTGGTGCAGTGATCCTTAGGTCGGTGGTTCGAATCCGCCTCGCCGGAGCTGGAGGGCTTTTAGTCAATCGGAGGGGCACAAGTCACATGTGGATGTGTCATCCATCAGACCGGAGTGGGGTCGATCGTCAGCCTGCGCACGGCCGTGCTGCCTGTGTTGTGTGTGCTCACGTGCATGTGCTGTGGCGTGGGTGGGCAGAGCGGACTCCTAACCGCGTGCCGAATTCCCTCCTCCACACGAAGTCACTGGGCATAATTGGTGTGGTGTGGAAGCAGTCGAGTGGACGAACAGAGGGACAGACGGGCATGTGAGTCTGCCTCTTCTCGACAGTCGTATAGTCGTGACGCCACACACTGCATAACTGACCGTCCGTCATTCCATGAGATGCTGATCGTCTGGATTTCGTTGCGTCTGTCTACTCGACTGCAGGCAGGTCGAAGGTGATTCAGATGGTCAGGAGGAATCCAGGCTACAGACTGGACTTGACGTTGTGTATACATTTGTGTAGTTCGGTATCACCTGACCGTGCTGATGGCTATTGGTATGTCGAGGATTCTGTGTCCAGTCAGAACGGAGATATTGTTATACTTTACCTCCCATGATGTGGAGTGGAGTGGGGTTGTGGCTCTATTCCACGAAGCGCACCTGTCATAAGACTGAATCTCTGTGTGTTTGCCTGTGCGTGATGGTGCAGTTGGCCTGGCCACCTGGCTGGTTGTTTGGTGGTGGTCCTCCATGTGTGTGTGTGCGTGTGTGTGTGTGTTTAATCGTAGATTTAGTGTGTGAGTGTGAGTGGATTCGTGGAGGAGAGTATCGAAGTTGGGATTGTGGTGTTCAGGGGATTCAGGGATTAGGGTGGGTTGAAGTGAGTTGGTTGAGTCGCCTTGTAGTGCTGAGACCGTGAGTTTTTCTGTGTTTTGCGTGTGGTGGGTTTTGTGCAAGTGTGAGTGTGGTGGAAGTGTTTTCGATTGCAATGGTGTTTTGTGTGTTGCAGAGTGAGCGATGATCGATGTGATCCGAGTGACTGAACGACAGAGTGTTGCAGTGATGCTAGTGTTATGGATGGTGTGTAGCGTGAGAATCGAAATGTGAGTTGTGTGAGTGGCTTTATAGGCCATCCTGACAACTGCTCGAATGACTGAGCAATTGGGTTTCTATGTATTTTGTGAAAAACTGCCTTCCCAGCCAAAATAGGGAAAGGCGGATGGTTACTTCTGTGGTTTCTAGGGTGGCCTTTAGAATCACCCTAGTTGTGTGGTGTGTAGTGTGTAGTGTTGTTGGTGATTGGTTTATTAAGTGTATGCGTTAGATTGTTGACGATTGTGCGTGCAAGGTGTTGATCTGAGTGTTTGTGTTGTTGAAAGTGGTGGATGGGATGTGACAGTTGTGTATATAGAGAATTGTGAGTTGGGGGGCGCCCGGCGATAGCTCAGTTGGTAGAGCGGAGGACTGTAGATTGGTGCAGTGATCCTTAGGTCGGTGGTTCGAATCCGCCTCGCCGGAGCTGGAGGGCTTTTAGTCAATCGGAGGGGCACAAGTCACATGTGGATGTGTCATCCATCAGACCGGAGTGGGGTCGATCGTCAGCCTGCGCACGGCCGTGCTGCCTGTGTTGTGTGTGCTCACGTGCATGTGCTTGTGGCGTGGGTGGGCAGAGCGGACTCCTAACCGCGTGCCGAATTCCCTCCTCCACACGGAGTCACTGGGCATAATTGGTGTGGTGTGGAAGCAGTCGAGTGGACGAACAGAGGGACAGACGGGCATGTGAGTCTGCCTCTTCTCGACAGTCGTATAGTCGTGACGCCACACACTGCATAACTGACCGTTCCGTCATTCCATGAGATGCTGATCGTCTGGATTTCGTTGCGTCTGTCTACTCGACTGCAGGCAGGTCGAAGGTGATTCAGATGGTCAGGAGGAATCCAGGCTACAGACTGGACTTGACGTTGTGTATACATTTGTGTAGTTCGGTATCACCTGACCGTGCTGATGGCTATTGGTATGTCGAGGATTCTGTGTCCAGTCAGAACGGAGATATTGTTATACTTTACCTCCCATGATGTGGAGTGGAGTGGGGTTGTGGCTCTATTCCACGAAGCGCACCTGTCATAAGACTGAATCTCTGTGTGTTTGCCTGTGCGTGATGGTGCAGTTGGCCTGGCCACCTGGCTGGTTGTTTGGTGGTGGTCCTCCATGTGTGTGTGTGTGTGTGTGTGTGTGTGTGTTTAATCGTAGATTTAGTGTGTGAGTGTGAGTGGATTCGTGGAGGAGAGTATCGAAGTTGGGATTGTGGTGTTCAGGGGGTTCAGGGATTAGGGTGGGTTGAAGTGAGTTGGTTGAGTCGCCTTGTAGTGCTGAGACCGTGAGTTTTTCTGTGTTTTGCGTGTGGTGGGTTTTGTGCAAGTGTGAGTGTGGTGGAAGTGTTTTCGATTGCGATGGTGTTTTGTGTGTTGCAGAGTGAGCGATGATCGATGTGATCCGAGTGACTGAACGACAGAGTGTTGCAGTGATGCTAGTGTTATGGATGGTGTGTAGCGTGAGAATCGAAATGTGAGTTGTGTGAGTGGCTTTATAGGCCATCCTGACAACTGCTCGAATGACTGAGCAATTGGGTTTCTATGTATTTTGTGAAAAACTGCCTTCCCAGCCAAAATAGGGAAAGGCGGATGGTTACTTCTGTGGTTTCTAGGGTGGCCTTTAGAATCACCCTAGTTGTGTGGTGTGTAGTGTGTAGTGTTGTTGGTGATTGGTTTATTAAGTGTATGCGTTAGATTGTTGACGATTGTGCGTGCAAGGTGTTGATCTGAGTGTTTGTGTTGTTGAAAGTGGTGGATGGGATGTGACAGTTGTGTATATAGAGAATTGTGAGTTGGGGGGCGCCCGGCGATAGCTCAGTTGGTAGAGCGGAGGACTGTAGATTGGTGCAGTGATCCTTAGGTCGGTGGTTCGAATCCGCCTCGCCGGAGCTGGAGGGCTTTTAGTCAATCGGAGGGGCACAAGTCACATGTGGATGTGTCATCCATCAGACCGGAGTGGGGTCGATCGTCAGCCTGCGCACGGCCGTGCTGCCTGTGTTGTGTGTGCTCACGTGCATGTGCCTGTGGCGTGGGTGGGCAGAGCGGACTCCTAACCGCGTGCCGAATTCCCTCCTCCACACGGAGTCACTGGGCATAATTGGTGTGGTGTGGAAGCAGTCGAGTGGACGAACAGAGGGACAGACGGGCATGTGAGTCTGCCTCTTCTCGACAGTCGTATAGTCGTGACGCCACACACTGCATAACTGACCGTTCGTCATTCCATGAGATGCTGATCGTCTGGATTTCGTTGCGTCTGTCTACTCGACTGCAGGCAGGTCGAAGGTGATTCAGATGGTCAGGAGGAATCCAGGCTACAGACTGGACTTGACGTTGTGTATACATTTGTGTAGTTCGGTATCACCTGACCGTGCTGATGGCTATTGGTATGTCGAGGATTCTGTGTCCAGTCAGAACGGAGATATTGTTATACTTTACCTCCCATGATGTGGAGTGGAGTGGGGTTGTGGCTCTATTCCACGAAGCGCACCTGTCATAAGA